AAATATCAATGCTACTGCTAGCCAATAATATGTGCACTGTTTCCGCAGACAAACACCCCTCAACAGCAAGACATCACGCGGAACACCGGGGGTACCTTACACGAGGAACAATATTAAATATTATATCAGCATTGCTTTTCCCTTATCAGTTAAGTCAAAGCAGAGTCTAGATACACCCCAAACAGACGACACAGCTGAATACACCCAGGGGCAACTGTGTCGTCTTAGTCAAAGCGCCAACAGCTGTGCCCACACCAGAAAGAAAAGAAAACCAACACGTATTTTAGCTTGTGCATGGTTCATGCACCATAATTTCAGTCTTACATTACAAGGGAAACAACTCATTATTTTTTCAGTATATATCTTAAAACTACTCTTGTTCAGACGAACTTAAATTTTTATAATTGTATCATTTGCCATGGGAAGTAAATTCATAATTTTTAATAGAGATAACTTGAAAGAATGACAAAGAATGCCATTGACACGTCATGATTTCAAAAGTGACATAAAATTCATTTTCCATTTAATCTAATTTGAAACGACGCCACCGTTAGAAACTGTACCAAAACCTAGGGGAAGCTACTGAAAATCAGAATAGTACATAATAAGATAATACCAACTATATGTACAACCTGGACACTGTTGATTATTATCATTATTATTATTATCAATATTATTATTATTGTTGTTATTATATCATTATTTTATCATCATCATTGTTAATATATTACTGATTTTCTTTAATACCCTGAGAAATTCTTTTATTTTAATATCATAGAATTATAAGTGCAAACAATTTGTGCTTTTTAGTATTAACAGCAAAGGTACAAAAATTATACAAAGTAAAAGTAGAAGATATGAGTTCTGAACTATATTACTTTTCCAAATTGAGACGGAAAATCAGGGATTCCTGTAGAATAATGGTACAACGTGTAGTAGTAAAGACAGGGAAGATGGCATTACTGTTCCTGTGAAGATGAACTTCATCATATTGTTATCACCTCCTTTAAAGATAGTGCTGGTGGGAGAGATCTTCAATTTAGACTTCAAAGGATTGATTTGCACTATGTCGTTGGATTTGTGTTTCCAGTAATGCAGACCATTGCTTGTCCAAGTCTATTCTTGAAGAGGTGTTTTTTTTACTCAAGATAGCATTTACTCAAGAAAAAAACGAAGTGTATACAGACCCGGTAACCGGGAACAAAGTCACGAAGTATACAGACCCGGTAGGTTAACTCTTTTGTGATTTCGGGAAGTTTCAACCCCCAGACCCGGTAGAAATCGTGTGTGTGTGTGTGTGTGTGTGTGTGTGTGTGTGTGTGTGTGTGTGAGAGAGAGAGAGGGAGAGAGAGAGGGAGAGAGAGAGAGAGAGAGAGAGAGAGAGAGAGAGAGAGAGAGAGAGAGGAGGGGGGGGGAGAGAGAGAGAGAGAGAGAGAGAGAGAGAGAGGGGGGGGGGGGCTGCTCAATTGAAATTATGACATTGTAACTTGTTTTTTTCTTCAAATTGTGATTCCTCCAACTCCAAAACGGAGGAAAAACGATCGTTCATCGAAAAGACATCCGCAATCTTCATTTAGATCTAGGCTAGCCGTGAAACTAGATCAAAGATTTAAGTTTGTCTGCCTAGATCTAGACCATAGATCTAGAAGAACCTAGGTCTACCCTGAGCCAGGAGGGCGCTGGAAACTCTCCAAAATCAAAAAAGAGTTCCCTTATCGGGTCTGTATACTTTGTGACTTAATTCCCGGTTACCGGGTCTGTATGCACTCCCAGAAAAAAAAACAAATTGGGGGAAACCTCTGTACATTAACTATTTTGTATAATAAGTGTAATTTTCTTTTCACTGAAGCACTCTATGTAGATATCTAATCTGACAATATGTAGTTCCAGTCCACCTGACAGTCTATTGCCATATATATATATATATATATACAGTCGAACTGACGGCCACCTGAACAAACGGACACTTTCCATTCCCCCCCTTGCGTTTTTTCTATATAATTTAACAGTGTAAAACGGGCACCTGTCCAACGCGGCCGCGGCCACCATATTTCAACACATAACCCCTATCACACAAAGCAATAACACCTGTCTTAGACGGCCACCTTAGTGACTCCATTACCCTTTGACATAAATCAAGCATTGGCCCCTGGCGTTGTGGGCGAGCCGTCATAATCCAAAAACCTGTCGTAGTTAGGTTGTCCCTCCAACTGATCATGTTGCGTAGGCCCCTCCCACTGTTGACCAATAGGTAACAAAATTAATTTTCAGCTGCTGGGGAGGGAAGCGTGTGATCCCTCATAGCCCATTAGCCTCGCCCAGAACCCATGTATATACACAAATCGCAAGTGAGATAAGTGGTCATTGTTAACCCAGTCTGTAACAAAGTAACAATGGACATCAGCATGAACTTGTGACAAAAGCGTTGCTTGTTCTCCGAGTGGTAGTGCATGTGTTTGTTTTACCATAACACTTGATCCTCCTTGTCTGACACATTTCGTTTTATTGTCACCGGTACACAAAAGCAGCAACAAAAGAAAAGAAAACCCAGCAAAAACAACAACAACAATGTAACTACCTTCGGTTGGGACCTCAGAAAGGGAGGGTTTGTTTTCTCAGAAAGGAATGCTTTGTTTTCTTTATCTTGATCAGTCCTGCCTAAGACGGCCACCTGTCTTATACGGCCACCTGTCTTATACGGCCACTTTTCTCCTTGACAGGTTCGACTGTATATATGTGTATATATATATAAAATGTATTCTACTTTAAGTCCCACCTGACATTTTGTCACAGTGATGACAATGACAATGACAATCTTCATTCATCTCGCAGGGAGAAATTTGTCTTGGTCGTTAACAATGCCTGTAGACGTTACAAAAGTTAGACCAAAAGGTGCACTCACGCAAACGCACAACAAGACAGGACATTAAGCCTAGTACATATGTCTCACGAGCTGGGACAACCCGCTCCGTAAAACATTCTCTCTCTCTCTCTCTCTCTCTCTTCCTCTCGCTGTTTCATTTGTAGCACTGTGTGTTCAGAAACCTCACTGCAGTTGGTACGACTGAATTTCTATATCTGTCTGTTCTTGCTTTTTTGGAAATGTATCGTTAACTGCAAGTCGATATTTGAAATTCCGATGTCAGTGGATGGCAATGGTCACTAAGCATTATTTCCGCCTTTTTTAGAACGTTTGTCTTGTGCAGATATTCAAAGTTACTAAGATCTCTACCAATTGGTCTTGATGCCTTTATTATCAACTTGTTTATATTTTTATAATGTGCTGCCTTCCCAAATTGCTACCATAGCAAGTGACACCAAAATTTATCAAAGTTTCTATGGTGGTGGTGTAGAATATCTGAAGGATGGATGACAGCTAACACATTCAATCTTTGTTTTTGTGTCGGAAATATGCCCGAACACTTATCATGAATGTAAAGAAATCAGAACGTTGTTAGTTATTGAAAATGGTCATAGAAACGAAATTAAAAACTGGAAGTCTGGTGCTGATTTGGTGTCACTGGAAAGCTAGAAATTATTATTATTCTTATAAAACCAATTACAAGAAGTCATACTTTTTCATAGAGACTTTCAGGTAATTTTTATGAACTTTCGAGAAAATATGAGAATCCCGATTATATTAGACACATAAAGTTGTATTTGGAGGAATAACTTCATAGTGAATTGTGTGCCAGATGGATAAAGTTGCAAATATAACAGCTTTCTATAATTAATTAATTTATTACATGCGCAGATCTTTTTTGAGTATATATAATATGCACCAACGTTCATGTTCCCAAAGTTCTAAAGGCTGCAGAAGGAGTCAGGAGCCCAGAGGAGGGGGCAAAGGAGATGAGGGGGTGGGAGAAGAAAGAGGAGACGAAAGCAGACGACATAGCATTGCTAGAGAGCAGGAAAGGAGGTGAAAGGAAACAATTTTTTAGAAAGAAAATTTTTCGGTCACTACCTGGATTCGAACCAGGGACCTTTGAATGAGAGGCCAACACCTTAACCTCTAGGCCACGAGAGCCCTTCCCCCAATGTCCACAATGGAGAGAGAGGCAAGTAACATTGAAAAGTGAAGTCGTCTACTGAGTCTTCTTGGGAGGTCCTAGATGTACACACGTCAATCAATTTATCATTAAAAAATATTCACTCTTCATCAAGAAAACAGGATTTTACTGAAGTTTTTGGTGGTGGCTTTTTTAGCATGAGTTTTCTGGCACTAAAGACATTAAGTTCATTAAGGTAGATCTATATCTAAAATCTAGACCTACCATTATCATGAATTTAATTTGATTTCAACAATCTAGAATCTAGATCTAGATATCTAAACTTTTACTATCGGTCTGAGCCTCCGTTCGGAAACAGATTTTTTTCGCCCCCTCCTGCCCACCCAGCAGTAATGGCGGTACCTGACTTCAAGTTGGGGAAGTAAAGGCAACGTGGAAAGGAAGTGGCCACCCTACCACAATATGCAGAAGGCCCAGGACGTTAGTTTCACTAACAAAACAAGGCCATCCCCAATGTCCGGATCGGATGCGGGAAAAACTTAAAACTTTACTTTTTACTCCACCACTTTGCAAAGTTTTTGAGGTGCATCACAGAATAATTTTGCATGCTAAGCACGATTTCAGTACTTAAAACCACCGCAAATCAGTAGTTTTCTAGACCTAGATTTTTATCAATGGGGCCTGACCCCCCCTTACCCTATTTTTAGGCAATTGTCAAGATTTCCGCGTTTAATTCCGATGTGCGTTTTTCATAGCCTCAGGTATGTTTCGCTTTGGTCCCTAACCCTAACCCTGGTCAGGGTTAGGGTTAGGGTTAGGGCTAGGGTTAGGGTCAGGGTTAGGGTCAGGGTTAGGGTTAGGGTTAGGGTTAGGGTTAGGGTTAGGGTTAGGGTTGAGGTTAGGGTTGAGGTTAGGGTTAGGGTTAGGGACCAAAGCGAAACATACCTGATGAGGCTATGAAAAATTGACAATCGCCTATTTTTATTCCCTTTACAACTAAGCTAGCTAGCTATCACTAGATCCAGGTCTACTATCAGTGGGGGGGAACATACTATGGCCTACATTATGAGCACATTACGATGCTATCAGTGTCAACTGATAGTGAAAGAAATATTTAGATCTAGGCTAGAGGTGCGAAAGGGAACGAACAACTAGAATCTAATCACGAATGATTTGACACACAACAGTTACAGTCCAGTGACAGTGCCACTCGTGCTGACGAGCTCGGGGGATCAGAAGAAAGCTGTAGAAAGTCAAAAACAAACAAACGAGACGAGCAGAAACAAAAGCAGAGTGCACATACCTTACTGGTCGATGAATCCATATCTAGAGAGGGTGTGGGCTCCTCTGAAAGATTAGATCTAATTGTTCTGTATGTAGATCTATGTGTTTGTCTCGGACAGTGACAAGGTGGGTGGTGGCTATTGTGAGGTGGTGGCAGTGGCCTCCTCACTCGTCGGTCATCAGTCTGTAGGTCAAGGCCATGAGTTTTCTGCTCATCTAAAAACCGAACTATAATAGCTGAATCACTGCTTGCGTGTTTTCCCCGCTATTGAGTATGAAAACCTTTACAAAATATAGGAATTTAAAAAATTAGTTTGAAATGATATTATTTGTTCTTTTGATGTAAATTGTATGTTTTTTGTTGTTTAAAAAAAAATATACAAACACTGTTATAGTTCGGTATGTGTAACAATTTTCTGAAATAAAGTGTTCAAGGGCATTCACTCTCAGACGCAAGTGTTATGCGGCATAGTGACATTTGTAAGCTTCTCTGGTAACCAACCATCAGCTAAAAAGATCTTCGCGAGATTCCTTCACAGGACCGTGTAATATTCTGGGTCCATATTTTAGGTGAACCAACCCTTAGTAAACTTAGTTTGATGGATGCACCCTCGATTCTTTGCTAACAGAGGTGTGATAGAGTGGCGATGCAAATGCAAGTAGATTCTTGAAGAACACATCATCATACTCATACTCTTGGCTTGGTCTGGCGGTCAATCAAGTAGATCTAGGCCCTAAAAGTAATTTTGAAAGTGAAAGTAGATCTAGATCTAGATCTAGATCTAGATCTAGAACTAGAACTAGATCTAGATCTGGAGAGTTTTCTGTTTCGGCAGTTCTGTATCGATGTGCTACCGCCAAAGAGTTAGATCTAGAGATCTAGATCAAGTTTTAAAAAAGGCTGATCTAGATGTAGATATTAGTTCCAAACTTTTATGTGGCTCGATGTGTATATGCCTTATATAAATGTTACTTTCTCTTACAAGCTTGTTTCAAGTTTGACCTCTAGTCTAGATCTAGATCTAGATTAGATCTAGATCTAGATTCTAGATCTAGATTAGATCTAGATCTAGATATTAGATCTAGTTTGATTGTTGTTTGAAAAATGGAAGATGGCCACGTTTCTCCTTGGCAATAGGTGGCTGTCTTACTGGTTCCACTGTAATAAGGACTCATGCAGTTGTTCTAGATGTTTTTTATTATACCAGCATGTTTACTTCCATGGGGCTCCTTTTCTGAACTTTTCACTCCTAATAAATTAATTAATAAATCATTTATATTTTAGGTATTTTCTTACTTTCCCTCCCGTTTCACACTTAACTACCAGTTGTCCATTTTCTCCTAGATTTCTAAATATTGATGCGCTGAACACGACGAATATCAACTTCATTTCCGTCGCAAATTAATAGTTTTTGAAATATTCGATTGCCAATCGAGGTAGACGTGCTTTAGACCAATCGTGGGGTTCCAGGGCAGGGGGGCCTGCCCCCCTGAGGTAAAAGAAAATCTGGGGGGTTACAGGGGGCATGCCCCCCTGTTTTAACCCATAATTTGATATTTTACAGTTAGATTTGAAATTTTTTTGAAAATAATTGATTTGCGACAGTTTTAGTTTTAGTGGCTTTATTTGTGATCTGCAGCAAACAGAACTGCAGTTTGACCCCTGAAACAGTGCATCTGTGTGCGGGAGTGAAAGTAAAAATTTACCTAATATTATATTGTCTATCATCACAAGCATTGCCATTATGGGCAATCGAAGGGCAAATGAACATCACATATATAAATATATTCTCTCTCTATCTAGTTAGTCGTAACAGTTTATTCCACTATCAATTATTTCTTAAGTCTGTGACAGCTAAAATTGATGGCATAAAATTTAATAAAGTCATAATAATTTGAATGAGATAAAATAAGATTTTTTTTCTGTGCTACCACACAAGGCAGGCTTGCTTTTTTGTTTAGTTTTTGTAAAATAGTTATCATTATCTGCCGAGTGTGCATAATGGTATTTGACTATATAATATAGGGCTTTATGATCATTTTACATTGCATTATAAGTGTGCCATACCCAGCATTTTTTTCTTCATGGATGAATCAACTGAAAGTGGGTTACATGTTTGATTGCGAATATTGGTAAGTGACCAATGAACATTCTTGACATCACTTTTAGTTTTGACCTCAAAATGATTTTTAAAGGTAAACTGAGGGCCTTACTTTTTAAAAAACTGTATTCCTTACAGAGATTTGTTATAAAAGCAAGACCTGCTGTTCCTAAACAAGACGCTAACCACCATTTTATTTTTATCTGCTTTTTTTATTAATAACTGTTTTTATGTGTGACACTGTTCTTAAAAATGTCATCACCGATCATCAATGCTTGTGGTTTTTTTGTCCCAAACCAATGTATAATTTTTAACCTGTTGCCCTGATTACTTTCAGACAGTAGTGAACTAAAAAAGCAGTTTCTCTGGACCAATGGGGAAACACCTGATAACGTGGTCAGTCTCCCAGAGAATATGCAAGGCTGCTTCATGGATGTCACCAAGACTGGCTTCCCGACACACTTCAGAAGCGTGTTATAATCAAAGTCTTCCTGGCATGCTGGAGAGTACAAAACGCTGTCGATATTACACTACTCAAGCTCAGCCAGAAAACTTACTCTTGAAGCATCTGAAGGCGAGAATAAAATCCAATGGACCCATGCCAGTTGCAGATTACATGAAAGAAGTCCTAACAAATGCATATTCTGTAAGTTCTCCGGGTTGTATTTTCTCCAAAATTTCAAATAACTTTTTGGACATTCATATCATTGCAGCTTGGGGTTGCTGTTTGTTTTATTTTGGCCTGCTGCCAAACAACCTGTCATTTAAAGAAACTTGTTTTCCAAAATATGCATTAGTTTTGCTATAAAAGAGTAATATTACTCAACCTGTTCCATGATGTGATTGATTGACTTCTTCATCTTATTGATTGAGTTCCACAATTGTCAGTGCTACCTCTCTGCATATCTGGTAGGCCTGATAATTCAAAGGAATGAATGAAGCATAGAGGGTTGTTTTCCCGGCAATGTTCTCATCTATTTTTGTAGGCACTCTATATGCCGGTTTGAGGAAATTAACTCCGAAGGGGGTAAACCCACTATGCCAGGGCCTTTTTTGGTTCTTAATCTAAAAATGACGAAAGTGTCACTAAATTGGTCATTAAATCAAAACAAGTGAACCTGTTTTGATAGTTTTTCATCTAATAAATAAAAGTCGATAAAAGAGTCGAACAATAATTTGATGCCGAAGTCATCGTAAAGGAATGTGCCTGAGCAGCGGCTCGCCGGCACAGCGGTTCCGGCCGAGAGCTGCTCGGAGTGGCTTGACGGAGATAAAGAGTAAGAACTTGTCGCTTAAATTTGAACCGAAATATCGTCAAAAATAATTGCTGAGGCCAATTCTGGTTAATTTTTATCATATCCAGGGATTCCATAATGATTTTAGAATAGAATTTAAAATTTGTTTCTTGTAAAAACCACTTTGTAATGTTTTTTCTCAATTAATTTTCCATTTTCATTCAGGAACAATAGTGTAATTTTGAACACTTTTTTTTATCAATTCTTACTTTTTCACCAGCATTCAGAAAAGCACAAAAACTCAAAATGGTCCTGAGGCGACAAATTTTTTATTTCCTTTGTAGACCGGCTCACATATCAGTGAACACCCACAGACATGTACAGTACATGTTTCTCTTTTTCTTACATGTTGCTTGAGTTCTTTTATTAGTTATTAACTTTCTTTTCTCACCTAGGGTTATTACATGCATAAAGATGTCTTTGGGAAGGATGGAGATTTTATCACTTCTCCTGAAGTCAGCCAGATGTTTGGAGAGGTAAGTCCGCTTTTTCAAGGTTGTGGAGGACTTCTGAATTATTAACCCTCTTCGTACGTCTTGTTTTACTATCGTATCCATACGACGTGGGGAACTCTGTGCCACCTCTTTCCAAAGAGGAAATTTACTCGTTAATCTGATCCGTACGCTTTACATAGCAGACTGTCAAAATGATTTTTTGAGAAATACTGAAAGTTTCAAAGAGATCTTCGTACTAGAAGTATTCTAAAATGTGAAGAATACAACCCCGGGGGTACAAAATGACCCCAGGGCATACGGATAGGGTTAAAAACAGAATAAAAATTATTTATAAAGACATGTATATATAAAGAAACATATATTAGCCCTTTTGGGTTTCATGCATTCCATGAACAAAAGATACCTGTGTTCTTTTGAACATAAATTTTTCTTTCTTTTTGAATATACAAAACATATCAAACTTATCAATCATTCATTTATTTGAGAGCAGTTTGGAAATAACAATGGAAAATACACCCCAAAATACTTAAAAGGTGATGCACCACAGCCAAAGATGACATGGTGGCGAGCGGTACAATTGGAAATTGAAAAAGCGGGGACTTCATGGAAACAGCTAGAAAAGGATGCTTAGGGCAGACTTCGCTGGAGTAATGTTGTTGATGGCTTATGCTCCACTGGGAGTTAAAAAAAGGGCAAGAGAGAGAGAGAGATGCACAACAGAGGTAGAGGAAAACAGTCCAAAAGGATGTAACTTTTGTGTATTATGTTTCAGAGGCACGGTATTGAAAAGCACTTTGAATTTTCAAATGAAATTCATATTTCAGATGCTTGGTGTATGGGTTGTGAATGAATGGATGAACAACTACAATGGTCAAACTCTACAGCTGGTTGAACTTGGTCCAGGGAGAGGAACTCTTGCAGATGACATGCTCAGGGTAAGTTGGATACTTTTTGATACTGTTGACCCACCAATTTCTCAAGGATACAAAATCTTGGTATTCTCAATTCTTGCTTAAAACGTGAGGAATTAAAGTTACAGTCAAAACTGATTTAACGATGATCTGTCCGAGACAATTGTTTACAAACAACCTCTTCCCATCTTGCATTTTTACTATATATTATAATTCACTGGCTAAGAGGACTGTGTAAGATGACAACTTTTGTCCGTGGCAATAGACGGTCGTCTTGGATGGGTTTGTCTGTTGATCAGAATAGAAAACGAAATCAATCGAAATCTTCAGGGAAATGAAAATTTAGTTTAAAAAATTTGTTTGCAGAGATGGAGCCAGATCACAGTAGGCGTACTGCAGGTGGTTGTTTGGTGCTCTGTTGTTATTCTCTTCTTCTTCTATTTTCTGTCGGATGTTATGAAAAAATGATTGTCTATAACTTCATGAGGTTAGATATAACATTTTTTCAGGTTGACTGTATAGTAAACTGCAATTCAACTGCAGTAATATCATGAAACTTTGTAAAACAAAAAAAGGTCTTATTTTAGTGTATTCTGTACACTTGTTCAGTTTATTAGTTGATGTCAGGTGCATGAACTGACGATGTAAGCACTTCAAACATTATTTTTCTATATGCTTCATTTTTTAAAAAAATGGTTATGTTAATCCCATTCCACGCACCAAAAAATGCCTATATATGCTGTGTACTGTATGGGGATATTCTTTGTTTCCTCAGGTATTCTGCCAATTTCCAAGCATCAAAGATAAAATAAGTTTGCATTTAGTAGAAGTCAGTCCAGCCCTTGGCCAAATGCAAGCATCAAAGCTTACAGGTAAAGATACCAGTGAAGTAGAAGAAGGAGATTCAGATTGTGTCGGAGCATATAGAAATGCTACGTCCAAATATGGCATTGATGTGTCTTGGTACCGAAGTCTGGCTGATGTCCCGCAAGGCCTGTCCTGCTTTATCGCACACGAATTTCTTGATGCATTGCCCATTCACAAGTTTCAGGTACTTTTTTTTTTTATCTCTGCTTGTGTACATGCTTCTGTGAGTGAGCATTTGTATTTTTCTTCTTTTTTTTTCATTATGATGAGTCATTGTTTTTATTTTTAATCTACTCTGTTATATTGTCAGTGACATTCGCTGTCCTAGTTGTTATATTTGATAATAATGCTGAATTGTAACTAACTAAATTACAGAAGGCATATTTGAGGCAGTGTGGTGAAACAGGTGCTCATCGAAATATTGTAATGAAGGAAATTGGCATTTTTGTGGTCGTTGGGCATTTTTTAAAAACCAAATTTCTTTTTTTTGCTCAATACTTTTATCCGAATCGGAAAGTCGGGGTTCGAGCCTCGGTTCGGACACAGATTTTTTTCACCCCCTCCTGCCTACCCAGCAGTTATGGGTACCTGACTTCAAGTTGGGGAAGTAAAGGCAGCGTGGAAAGGAATTGGCCACCCTACAACAATATGCCGAAGGCCCAGGAAGTTGTCTCACTAACAAAGCAATCCCCAATGTCCGGATCGGATGCGGGAACAACTTTGCTTTTTACCTTTATATGTTTATTTAGGAATACATTTCTGCGTGGGTTTTACTGTAAGAAGTTTATCATAGACACAAAAGTAAATTTACAGTTTCCAATGACACTCAAGCTTTGGAAATCACCAAATTTTGGCAGCCACTTACTTGCTTATTTTGCCTCCAACACCAGGTGACCCCCACCTCCTTTAATCAGAAATATTTCGACTTCTATTCAAGATTTATATGTATTTTTTTTCGCCAAGTGCAAGTCTGCTCCACTTTTTTTGTCTGCTCATACTATATACTTTATTTTGAAAATACAACTCTTACCTGACAATTTTGATGACATTCGTGATTTAGTTTCATGTTTCCCAGCCTAAAGCAAAACAGATTTTGCTGAGTAATATTTCACCTGTAAGAAGAGGCAAGTGAATGTATATATATAAATTCTCCTTACTTTTATGTTTTTGTAGAAAACCCCATGATGTTCACTGTATTTTTACATGGGGTTTTCATGCAAAAGACTTGAACTTCCCCCATCCCCAGTTTACATACACTTCAAATGATGATAGCTTAATAATAATTGCCACTCCATTCAAAGGTAACAAGGGTTAGAAAGTTGTTGATGATAAAATTTTAGCTTATATTGAACGATTTAAATCAGAAATATAATTTTAGAAACAAATGTTTTGGTTCCATTGTGCTCAAGAAAATTGTATCTTTTATGACTCTTGTTCCCACATCTCTAGAAAACTGAAGCTGGCTGGCGTGAAGTCCTTGTTGATGAAGATCCAGGCAATCCTGATGCTCTGAGATTTGTCCTGGCACATGGAAAAACTCCTGCTAGTGTTGCCTTATTACAGGTCTGTAAAAAGTCAGTTTTTAGCTGTGTGTGCAGTGTGCTCGATGTATTGGATGTAAAAAAAATCATTGTGTGCACAAGTTTTGTGTTGTTAGAGTCCTAGTGAAAAAGGATTTTTTCAATTTGCAAATGGTAAGTGATGAATATTTAAATATGAAATATACAGGTACTCCACAGTTATTAGTATGTCAGATAAAAGTATTATACACCTGAAAGTACGCTGGCAGTACAGAACCAAATTTTTCCTATACTATATATTATATATAATGATCACTCATAAGTGAACATTCCACAACAATTTAGTCTAATAGCATGATTGTTCCTGCACTAGTGTCGGAAGCAGATCAGCCACAAAATGACTCATTTCACAATGAGGTACCAATGGAAAGGAAGCAAGACGCCACATGCCCTCCTTTGTTACACGAAATTGCAGCTTTGCCAATGGAGAAAAATACACATATAAAGACAAGGTGTGAGAAAGAATTGCACAACGAGGAAAGTGACTGGCTGTATGTGGAGGGGCGAACAACGTGAGGGGGCTGTGAGTGCCATAATTAGGATGGTGGCTGTCTGTGATAGTTTAGCATAGGAAAACTTTTCACCTCGGGATTAGGTCAATTATGCAACGCAACGTTCAGCAAGAGATCAGTTGTGAGGGGATTCACTCTTGATTACTCTCCCTCAAAATGTCAAAATTAGCTTAACAGCACTGTGTACACATAAGGGTATGCTCATCTTGTCACCTGAAGTGCGTGCTATTAACTGGAAACTACTGTATTGTTTTTAAATGATTTTGTGTTATGCATGTCTGTATTAAATATGAATTAGTGAGAAGAATTTCCACTTTTTTATATGTTGAGAATTAATTGCTATAGAAGAATAACTTTTGATTGCTATTTTCATCTCTTTCTTCTTCTATAGCTAGGTACAAGGGTACCCATTTCCACCTGAGGAAATTTAGTGTACTCGTAAAGTGCCTTTCCCAAGGACACAATGTCGGGCCCCTGATGGGATTTGAACCCACGACCTTATGGTTTTGAGTTTGAGAGCCTAACCACTTACCCACTGACAAGTACAATTACATTCTGAATAATTTTATAACATAAGCATATCTTTCACAATTTGATAGGTGGAGTCTGAGGAACAGAGAAATCACATTGAGGTTTGCCCCAGTGCTGGACTGACAGTACAAGAAATTTGCCAGCGTATCCAATCTGATGGTGGGATGGCTTTGCTTGCTGACTATGGACACAGTGGAGAAAAAGGGGATACATTCAGGGTAAGATTTTACTCAGGGTAAATCAAACTGATCTCCCTTTAACTTTAATGTTTCATTGAGAGTTTTAACACATTGGAGGATCTGCATATAGTATGAAAGTTCTGTAGTTGAGGAATATTTTCATGTCACTCAGTGTTAGGCTGCTGAGTCTGTATTTGGCAGCATGATCAAGATTTTGTTTTTTTTCTTAGAATCTTTTGTGTAGGATTTTAGAGTTGAGATCTACAATATGGTTAAAATGTTTTTGTACAAAGTTAAATTTGGGAAATGGAAAAAGAAAGAAGGCTGGGGAGGGGGGGGGGGGCAGAAGGAAAATAAAGAGAGAAGAAACAATGTAAAGGTTTAAATTTAAATAGATTATCACTGTGGTGATAAATAGTAACAGCAGATTTAATGTATGCAGCATGTTTTTATAAGGACACTCTTCAATGACCTTTACTGTACTATAAGCTCTACTACGGGGGGCTCCAGTGGCTAAGTGAGTAATGAGTTTTGACTCAAGCAATGTCAAGCAAGTGTCGGTGACACGGGGATCAGATGGGTGGTCACTGGAGTGTGTCCTTGAGCAAGACACGACAACCCTAGCTCAAATTTCAGGGCGCTGCACAGTGGCGACCGACAGTGGCATTGTTTGTAAACTGTTCTGTATTTGTGTAATAGTGTGTATTTATGTATGTATTTATGCATGTATGTATTTATGTATGTACATATCTATAATCATGTATTTATGTATGAATGTTTGCCATTGTAAAACAAAGTGCCCTTCTGGGACAAATAAAAGTGTAATTTATCATTATCATTATTTTATCATATTTGAACCAACACATGGTTGGCAAACATTGATTAAGTGTGAAAAAGTGTCCCTCTGACTCTTGGTCTGTCTGTTCCTTATCTTTTTCTGCCTTTGCATCACCTAGACAATATTTAGCCGTTGTGTACGATGGGATGAACATTTTTGAGATGCTGACTACTGCAAGGTCAAGAAAGAAAAAAATGAATTTGATAAGATTTGTTGTAATACTTTCAGAAATTAATCTGATATGTATTTCATATTTTCACACAGGCTTTTAAAAGACACAAGCTTCATGAAGACCCGCTCTCTGAGCCTGGATCTGCAGACTTGACGGCTGACGTTGATTTCTCGTATCTCAAATCTTTCACCAACGCTGATGGTAAGTGTTTGTGCATTTTGTGTCTTATTAACCCTCATCCTGCGGGAGCCGGGTTTATGTAGCCCGATAAGCCTATTTCGGCACCTCGCCTGCGTTCTGGTCCCGAATCAGTGTAGCCCCTGGCTGAGCGCGTGCGCATCCTCTTACGTGTCATTCGGGTCCCGAGTCGGATCCCCATTCACGCAGGTCAAGTGTGTGTGCGTCAGTCTGCTTGAGTTTGTGTGCGTTTGTGGCCTTCTTCTAGAACCACCTGCGTTGGTTCGTAATCGAGGCATACGTGTCATTCAAAACATGCCAAGTTGATAGCTATAGATGTTCGTCCAATGAAATTATAGAAGAAATTGACCCACTTAGACATGAGGAGCTCGAAAGGATAGTCAGGAAACAAGACTTCCATTTTTCTATACAAAATATTTCAAATGAGCTTGATTTTGTATGAAATGATACTACCTGATAAAAAATGAGCTTGTTTGATAGTTTTGAACCCTTGTGCAGGTACAAAGAACAATTTGAGTGTAAAACATTCGGAAATTGACCTAAATTATCCCCTTTCGAACCTCAGGTCCTTCATAACAACAAGAGCGTCCAGAAAGGTTATTCAAATGGGCGTAACTACTCGTAATGTCTTATCAGCTTGTGAGAGGGGGTTATTCGTGTGTTTGTAACACTTTAGAAAGCTATGAAGGATAGAGCGTTATTTTCATCATCAGTTAACACACTCCCGTGGTATTCATGGCGAAAACACACGTTTCCCGGCGTGCACGCTGTACACCAACAGTACACACTGAGTGACCCCGGCGGCCTGCCCGGCACGTTCGACGTAATCGGTTGCTAATAAGATACGCATCTGGGCACAGACGCAGGATAAGAGTTAACTCTTTAATTTGATTGTGTTACAGTGAAACACATTGCCACACTAATGGTTGATAAGCGCTGAAAAAGGAGCAAACGGACCGGAGACTTGCTGAGACTGTCTACTGCTGATCCTTCGTTTCCCGTCTTGTTTCCATTGTAGACTCAATCACTTTGATATTGAGGAAGTGAATAAGATGGCATGGTTCAAAATGAGTTAAGATTTCTCTTTGTTTGCATCAGATCCACTTAAATACTTGTAGTGGGGCTCCTGCAGTATAGAGGTATGGTGTCTGCCTCTCTGTCATAAGGTCCCAGGATTTAAACCTGACAGCTAGCGATTAGAACATTTTTTTCTGCAATTTTCTCCTTTGTCCTCCTTTCCTGTTCTCTAGTCTCTCTGCTTTCATCTCCACTTTGTCCTCCCACTCCTCTGTGCTCCTCTCTGCCTTACTCCTATTTCTGTTGCTACTCTTAGGTCCCTCTTATTGCCCGGTTACACACAACGATAAATTGTGTCAGATTCGTTTTATGCGAGAACTGTCCGTTTTATCAAGCTGTGTAGTCTGTTTAGATGTTTTAATCTATCTTCCAGTTTTCTTTCAATCAGGGAGATCCCTAGTCATTGACTTGACAGCAGATGTGCAACGCACCGGGTGACCTTGATACACAACTTCACAGTTGACAATCAATTAAATAATAAAATTGCTAAAATATACATAAAAACGCATCAAATCAGGTTCCCCATGAGCAGCATTGCTTATTTTGAGATGCAGATTCCGAATATGAAATCAGTTTTTACATGCGATAATTATTTTTAAAATTTGGAGCCCTAAGTTTAATCCTACGCGGTAGCAAATTTCAAAGTGATTCTATGTCACAGCTCGTCTCCCTCAAATCTGACCATGATCGCACAGAAAATATCAAGCAGTGCTTGATTTCTCGACCGAGTCTCCAAACCATCGTCCTAACTTTGGACAATTTTGTGGTTACACCTGATGATTTGTCTCATGATCTATAGATCGTCCAGTTTTTGTACAATTTATCGTTGCATGTAACCGGGGCTTTACTGCTGTCTTTCAGCTACACCTCTGATCTTTGAATGGTCAAGATGGAGCACCTAGCCTGTAGTCTTCGCAAATAGAGGAGAAAAAAAACCCTGAGAGGTTTCGTGTGCAAATTGGGCATGTTAAAACCCCTTGTTGGTCTTGAAATAGCTTAGAGTAATAAAGTAATAAAAGTAGGCTTTGGCCACCACCCAGACAAACTTCAAAATTAGTTCAAATCCAAGCTGTAAAATATACTCCAGTCAGTTAATGAAAATAAAGAGTACCTTTCTTTCGAAATAATAATGTGGCTGCCTGAAATGGAGCCATAAGATATAGGAAATATGGTACATAAATGAAATTCAGTTGCACTGCAGGTTGAAAAAATCAGCAGCCGACTACACTAACATATAACAGTCAGGGGGACGGAAAAAAGGAGAAGAGCGCTTAGTTAGTGTAAGTTGAGAGTCTATGGTAACTTGAATGATTTATAATAGTTTTGCGGATTCTTTCAAGTGTATGATTTGTTTGTTTATTTTATTTCTTTGCAGTGGATGTTTTTGGTCCAGTTACTCAAGAAAAGTACCTCATAAATATGGGCATTGGAGTGCGTTTGCAGGCAAGTTCTTTGTCAATAGTATTTGTGAAACTTGCTTTTGTTTCCGTTTTGATTTTACAGATCTTATTCTACCCAAACTCAACTGTTCGCGATTCAGGGTTTCCACTGTAATATTCAAAAATCTTTTTGAATTTCTCAACTCATGCTTGCATGAATTCAAAAAGAAAATTCAGGTCGCCTTAGTAATACTACGAATATTTCGGCCTCGTTCCCAATTCTTTTACCACTGGCAGTCTCATGTTTGTTTATTCATTATTCGGTTCTTGGGCTTCTTTCCACACTTTTCCATGGTTTTTCAAAAACTTATTTACAGGCATTACAGCCAAATTGGCTCTAACAGCCACCTGTCCAAGACAATCACCAGTACAAATGTCTACTATCCACTTGTTCCTTGTATTTTTTTCTACATTTACATTACTCTCTCCAAGGTGCCTTTTGTCATTTGTTTATCCATGGATGTACTCAGAAAAGTTGTTTCCTATTTTTTTTTAATTGATACTTTTTATTTCTTCTTTAGGCTTTACTTCAGAAATCTAGCCAAGAACATTGGCCCAGCCTGATCTCAGGGTTCAAGATGCTCACTTCACCAGACCAGATGGGTGAACGATTCAAATTTATGTCCATTCTTGGGAAGACGGGAAGCTCTTATAAACCAGCTGGGTTTGTGGAACTCAACTATGGTGATGGACAAGGATCATCATAAATGTAACTTATATTTTTACTACTGACTGTGAACCAAATCATTATTAGCATAATTGTGCCAAGCTCAGACCTGCCATATTGACATTTGCTAGACTGTCATGCCACTCTGTGTTCATTTTAAGCAAAATTATTGTCCAAGAAGGCAGTTCTGAACACACAAAAATAAAAAATCACCAAATCTTTGTTGTGTTGCTTTCTCCTTTGTTGTTCCTCCTTGGCCAAGACTCCGAGGAAAATTTTTTTTGTTGTTGTCCTAAATAATCATGTGTGTCATGACGCGATGGAATCAGGCGCCCGTCAATTTTTAGGCATGAGGAGTTATTGGTACAGTAGTCTCCGCCTAAACGCACGTCTTACAAAAGCACGCTCCGCTCAAACGCACGCTTTCGTCATCTGACGGGTTTTTTACTATATAATTTAGACGTACAAACGCTCGGTCACTCCCTCTAAACGCACACTCCGATCTGCGAAACACGCTGACAGGTTAAGCTTGACAAGGGGAAATTTTCACTACAATCTGCACAAGACAAGCCTAAGAAAGAGTGATGGACAGCGTTTTCACATCCAACTTTCCACAGACATCTAGATCTAGGTCTGGTCGCTGAAATGTTGGGGGGGGGGGGGGGGGGGGGGGACTGAAATGTTTTTTGATTGGTCACTGGAAATGTATCTTTGAGAGAAGGTTTCTGACTTGTGTTTGAGTGACTGCTTGTAATGTTTAGTTAGATCTAGGCCTGATGCGCGATACGTGTAAATGCCGTAAAACAATAGATCTAGAGAGGATAAAAGATTAGACAAGTAAGCCTAATCTGCTGCGCTCAAAGAACTTATAACGTACAGTCTGTGCCGGCTATAAGCACGCCGGCTTAAAGCACGTTTCGGACTTAAGCACGCTAAACGGCTCTTACCGAATTTTTGCTATATAAATTACATGCCTTTAAGCACGGTAACTTCGGCTTTAGGCACACTTCATTACAACAAGACCGTCAATACTTTCACGATGACCCATCGAAGTTCGAACACAGTCTACACTGCAGCAGTGGAGTGTGTTAAGAAAAACACAGAGAACGCAAGTGATGCCAGTGATGGAGACACACACTCTCACGGGTGGAGAGGAAGGCAGAGAGATGCACACAACCGCGCGCGTGGACATAGGATCTAGCCTAGGGCAAAGTTACACACAGACTTAAAAATACAAAGAGAGTCGGGGAGACGAGAAAGGGCGGCTGGCTGCGATTTCACCTTTGACCCTCGCTATCCATTAATTCTGATTGTGTATCACGCGCGAGGTGGGATGAAGGCGGTGGTATGAATGTGGCACAGCGGGCAGTGGTACGCACAGGCAGCATGTAGGCCTAGTGTGCTCCATCGTGACTGGCCGTCTAAATTAAGTTTTCATTTCCTATTCGACCACAAAACAAAAACAAACAAGCAAACAAAAACTACCATGACGGGCAAAAATACCAGTGCACACTTTTGCGGGACCGCTATAGGCCTACTTACAAACAAAGGGAAATAGCACGTGAAATTTTCTACCTGAAAATCTCTGGATTATGTCTACTTCGCACTCAAGCACGCTTCATTTTTAAGCATGCTTATGCTTTCTCCCGATGACCGTGCTTAAAGCCGGCATGGACTGTACTTGGTCAACGAATCACAAGAGAAATGTTTCTCTGAATGTAGAGAATGACTCTGCGTGAATTTACGGTCGGAGGTGGTCGCTTGGAAAGCCACGTGGCTGAGCTGTCGTTTCTATGACTATCGCCAACAGTTTCCTCCTGCGCTATCTGTTCCCGAGGTTTATAGTGCATAATAATATAATTAATTACATTGAGTCTGCCTCTCCCCCTGCCCCTCCCCCATTCAACGCCTTTGTATTCCTAACCCCAGTCTGGGAATCCTTCACAAAACAGTCACGTGCCGTCACATTATCTGCCAAAAAGACCCCCTCCCTCCAAGGGAGGTCACTAGAGTTAATGAGGAGTTGAGATGACTGCACGTCCCTTCCTCCCTTTGCAAAGGTTCATGTAAACCCACGCTCCCTGTAAACACACGCTTAGGAGCCCTCCCGAGCACCATGCGTTTAGACGGAGACTACTGTAGTTATCTTAACGGGAGGAGCTACCCTTGAGGACCATTTTCTATGTTTGTTGCCCAAGATCAAATCTATGTACACATATAAGTCAGACATAGTAAAATCTCTTGATACGCAATTTTATTTTGGCACAGCTACAGCGGTTGCTATGGAAACGGCCGTCATCTTGAAAATAAACATTGAATTTCAAATCCCTAAGGCTTTTTTATTTACAGACCAAATTTGGTGAGAGTATACCTGAACCAGACACTATCAGAGTAACAGCAAGTTTTTTTCAATCAATGCAAAAGAAAAGAAAAAAAATGAGAATTTTCCCAAGTATAAAAAACCTTTTTCTAAATTTAGGTTGCGTAATCGCTTGCCAATGGAAAAGTATTATTTTTGTCGCAAATATCTCTCTGTTGCATTGATGGCAGCCTTGCCATCTATGTTTCCTGAAAGTTTCATGTCAAAAGGATGAAAACTAAGGAAGGAGTAGGGAAAAAACTGCACAAAAATTACATTTTGCGAAAACCGACAATAATTGTGAAAATTCACTATATTAATCCATCCTTATGTTTTTAAAGGCAATTTACCTGGAGAATAAAGTCTTTCTCAACTGTATCCATGCTATTTTTAGACAAAAAACTAGTTGATCTTCAAAAATCAGCCAACATAAAATGTGCATGGCCTGACCCAAAATCTGCAAAATCAAGGGTCGCTCCTCCCCTTAAAGCTTGTTCATTTGTCTTTCTTTTGATGAAAAAGTTACCCATCTATCTTAAATAAAAGTAAAAGGCAACTTATTTATATTTGAAGGAGGTGGAGGTCGCCTGGTGTCGGAGGCAAATACAAACATTAGCGAGAAAATGGCCACCCTAGTTTATTGACTTCCAAATCTTTCAGAGTCCTTGGAAACTGTAAACTTACATTTTCTGTGCCCTTAATCAACTTTTTCAACTAAAAACCACACAAATGTATGCTTTTAAAAGGACATAAATGTGGTGTGTCAAAAAGTAAAAATTCAATAAAAATTGCCTAACAGGAAGAAAATTGACAGTTTCTTCGATTTCATTATTTTGACGATCGCCTGATTTCGCCCCAATGCCTCACATAGGCCCTCATTGCTATTTGACCCTACGGGCATTGTCTTCCATGCCCTTCGGATTGCTAGTTGCTAATTTAGAATTTAGTATTAGGCCTAATATCTTACGCATAAAAATCAAGAAACTGGCCTTCATCAGCATGTTTCGGATTTTTTAATTTTATCGAATTTTTGTTTTTTGGATCAACACTTTTCATGCCCTTTAAAAAACATTCTGTGTGGATTTTACTGAAAAACGTTGATCAAAGGCATAAAAGAATATGTCAATTTTCAGTTTCCACAGACTCTCAAGGTCAGAAAATAACTCAACTTTGGCGGCCAAAGTCTCACTATTCTTACTTCTGAAACGAGGCGACCCCTCCTCCTTAATTCGCCAATATCTCTACTTGTATCCAAGATAAATGGATATTTTTTAAAATCAAAAGCAAGGCAAATGGACAGGCTTTAAGATGATACAACTAACTCCTTAAGCCCCAAAATTGACGAACGCCTGATTCCACCGCGTCGTGACACATATTATAACTGAACTGAACAGTTTCTTCAGCGTTTTGGAAGAGATCTTATTGATCTTCTTTTTGCAGGATTTATTTTATTGGAATTTCTGATGACAAGGTATCTGCCATATGCATGAGACCTATTTTTCAGTCCTATCAAAACAAACTAAAACTAGAAACATTCTTGTATTGTCAGAAACTGAACAAGGTTACTCTTAAAGGTGAGGTGAGCACGAAAAACGAATGAGTCAAGCCATACAGAAGTGCAAAATGTGAACAATATGAGACATCCAGAAAAGCAAGGGGGGGGGGGGACCCTCTAGAGTATTGTATGTTAGTGGCACTGTGGGCTGAATAACCAGCAGTAAGCTATCACTATCATTGATCTCAGGGAAGATACATTTAGAGAAAAATGAACCTTCTGACTTAAATTGTCCTGTAGAACATGACTATAGCGGCATCCGCTACAGTGGGACCATCCCTACAACGGGACCTTACCGGGATCCCTTATTTTTACGATGTAAGCTCAATTACCTGTGCTCGGGTTTAGCGGGGCAAGGAAAGGCCTGAATTCAGATACAGCAGGAAAGATCTAGAGAGTTCTAGTTGGGGAGAAGGGGGTTGGGGGGGGCTGTAGGCGGGCTCCAAACAGGCAGTCAGCAGTGCGGCATTGTGATTGACCAGTCCAGTGATGAGCGAGGTGGGGCAGGTGGCAGAGAGAGAGTTGGTGCGGAGAGACGCGTTACATGAGCCTCTCAAAAAGTGATGTGCCATATGATCAATATGAGAGCATATAGGCCAAAGGCCTAGGCCTAGATCTAGGCTAGGTCCGAAAAGTAAAAAAAAGAGGAAAGCGCGTAGATCTAGTGTGTGATTCCTGATTCAATGAATTGCAGTCATTGATGCTCAGGTATACACACGCATCCACTTCACCTGAGTTCTACAGTAGGCCTACCGGTACGATAGACAGCACAAGCAACGAGAGCGAGGAAAAGATGGTTTCCAACAAACACAAAAGGAAATGCTTCTCACCCGAATCAATAATGGCAGAGATATTCAACAAAGTTGGCAAGAAAAGGAAGACTAATCTAAAGCGATCATTTTATTGATTTGCAAGGGAGGTAATTAAGTGGATTTAAAGAAATTTTTCGGCAATTTCCCCTTAGCATTCCTATAGCGGGAACTTGCCTACAGCAGGTTTTTTTTTCTGGAACCAAATGTTCCGCTATAGCCGTGTTCTACAGTAGTAGATCTGAAAGTTTTTCGTTCCCCTCAATACAATTATTGGATCATTCCGGAGATGTGCTTTTTTTTAACCCTGCCTGTCATTGCTAACCAAGATTGAGTAGAAAACAGCATCTCAGCAACAAGCAGAGGAAATCGATTTTAAAAAAAGGCTTCCCCTCATGGGAAGAATATCATTTCTTTTGTGTGCAAGGCATCCTATTTATGACAGAAGTTCTCAAAAATTTAAAACAGAATCCTCTACAGCTCACAGTGAGGAGAGAAATCTGATTCATAATAAATGAGAAAGTGTTTCTAAGGTGTTCCTTGATAAAAAAACAACAAAGTTTTGTTTCTAAATTTTATTTCAAGAAGTATAGTAAGTACTTTTGCATACATATATATAATTTAATACACTGTACATGTAGTATGATTTACAAACAATGAAAATACAATTACCACAGACACGACACTTTCAAATTTCACTTAATATTCTTACATAAATAACATATATGACAATGACCATTTCAAAAATATAAAAAAGAGAAGGATCCAGACTAACATATATTTAACACAAATTCTCATTTCCATGCTGTCATACAGCTTTCATTCATTCTTTCAAATAATGTGCACGCCTTCACTTTCAGTATTTGCAGCATCTCAAACAGAGAAACTTTTACATCCGTCTACCGCTTCTGTGCGTCATCTTGCTTTTTCAAGCACTTTATGTTTACAGTAATATCAATGAGCTTTGCTTATTATATAATATATCGCTCCCTATTTGCTTCTCACATTATATACTACTAAGAAAACAGAGCTAGAGGCGAAGTGTTAAGACAAAGAATTTCAACACAAAACTGGATAGTCCAATACAAAGTAAAACAAGAGCCCTGCACTAGAAAGAAGTTTGAGTCTGATTTATTGTGAAGAATCAAGAATCAGCTATTTAGTAGCTCAGTCGCAAGTTAGAAACAAAAAGCACATAATTTGTTCCCCCACCTGACTTGCCATAATCTTTTTCTTGCAATACAAATGTCTTGCCATAGCTTTGCTGGAGACTGAAATCACAGACTGCAGTTAATACATTTTTCTAAGCTTCTGTCAAGCCTGAACAATTATTATGTTTTTTTCGCCCAGTGTATCAGTTAATACATTTTTTCCACTCAGTATTATTAATCAATATATGTGTTCCAACGCGGCTGAATCAGGCGCTCGTCAATTTTTGGGCATACAGAGTTATTTACATTTCCTTAAAGCTTTATCATAAATTTGGAGAAAAGAATACCCTCCTATCTTGAATAGAAGTCAAGGTATTTGCAAATAAAGGAGGTGGGGGTCACCTGGTATGTGAGGTAAAATTAGTGAGAAAATGGCCGCCAAAGCTTGGCAACTTCCAAAGCTTGAGTGTCGTTGGAAACCGGAAATTAACATTTTTTGTGCCTTTAACGAACGTTTTTCTGTAAATTTCCCACAGAAATGCATTTCTAAAAGGATGTAAAAGGTGTTGAATTAAAAACAGAAAGTTCCAAAAGAAGTGTCCAACTCCCCAAATATGTCTATTTCTCTGATTCCATTGTTTTGACGAGCGCCTGATTTTTACCACACTGCCTTACATATGGAAACAATGTCAGAGTGAATATCTTTCTTATAAAAGTCACTGTGCGCTGTCTCCTGTCTTGCGGAAGTTGATGTACGTGCAAATGAAGTGCAAGAGTGACAGTCCACCTTGACAAGGACACAAGATAAGGACACCTCTTAGAAAATTGTATGAACAAACAAGCTCTCTTCTTTTTCAATTCTAAGACAAATGAATGGTGAATTGAATGAGACCCAAGGCACAGCACCAGGAAATTGTGGTCAAATAATATGCCAAACATTCATTTAAAACTGAGATACTAGCAGTAGCTTAAAAAAGTATGAAAAGTACATGAAAGAGCTTAGGGCACTTTTTAGAAATCTATAAATAGATTCTAACCTTCAACATACATTTAAGAGAGCACAGTAGAGCAGTGTTCTCATCCCATAAGCTGAATAATGAACTATCTCACCAAAAATCAAAAGAGAAAAAAACATGGCAGTTGCAATAACAACACTATACATGAAGAACAAACAGTGCTTTTTAAACTCGGATAGAGACAAGATAAGATATATTTATGACATGCTGGAAAAAATGAAAAGACTATCAACTATCTTTACCTTTAGTTTTACAAGATTTCTGAATTGTGAATGTAACTCCATTGCCGTAGTTCTGTGTTACTCTAAAACTAAAAGAAAACGCAAACTGAACGTTATTCATACTTTTACCGGCATATAGCTGAACTTATCAGGGACCATACAAATTGTAAAACAAATCATTTTCACAACAGCTTAGAGAAATGAGTCTTCCCGGCATGGACACATTCAAGTAAGGGATATAATGCTCAAAAGAACAAGAGAAAATTGACTGAGGATTACTTCCCTTTAATCCCTTCGTGATGTATGGTTTTTCCAACGTTTACTGCACTCAATTTTTGCTAGCCAGGATGTTCAAAGCTATTGTAGTGCAGATAAAATCTCCCACGGTGTACGTAGTAAGGTCTACGCGATTGCTGATTTTAGGCAGTATATTGTACGGAAGGACAGCATCTTGGCACACAATGTTGGACGTATGGTGTACAGGAGTGGTCACGAAGTGGTTAATACATGAAAGTGTAGTGGAGCAGAAAAATCTAGTTCTCAAAGTGCTTTTTTGATCCATATGAACAACAAAACCTGTCTTCTCATCCTTTCACAACAGAGCAGTTTATCCCATCCACACATCTGTAGAAACTACTTGCAAAGTTACAGGTCAGCGTCAACACTCGATACCAAACTTGTCAAAGTTCCTCAGGATCACCCCTAGTCTCAAGTGAACCTTGCCCATGGCGATGGTCTGAAGTCTATACCTGTCTGCACCACTGTAGATCAGATCGGGGTTCTTTAGGTGTGGGCCCCCGCCCAGGAAGTACTGAGAAACACTTTCCATAAACGAACCCGTTGGTCGCCATGTGGGACAGTCTATTTCATGGGTTCCTGGAGATGTGGGTAAATGAACGAACCCATAACCATAGAGCTCATTGCGACCAAACGCATCTTGATGCCATACCTGGAAGTGGAGACGAGGCCAACCTGGGGAATTCAGTGAACATACACCAACAATCAGGATAACAATGCCAAATCACATGAAATGTCCAATAATTATATTGTTAGCCAGACAAATAAATAACTGTCGTGACCTTGTTCTGACAAAGTGCTACTCCAGTAATATTTACAAAGAGCACAAGTAGCAATCTAATATTGCAAGCAGTTTAATAGGGAAAGATCCGAAGTCAATGAAAACAAGCAGGTGGTCAGGTTTTAATTGACTGTCTGTTGTGAAAGAAACTGCATTTTCAGGTGCATTTTTTTATTTATCCTTTTGTCTGTTGGTGGCGGGTCTAATGATTATTGTGTTGCTGATCATGAAACTTTTTTGCCCTAGATTTATGTGTTGTTTTGGCCTATGTCCTGCTACCCATCCCTGTTCCTTAAGCCGGAAACAAACAGGACAGCTTGGCTGCACAATAACCTGTCCAAAGATAGGTGCTGCTTTGAGCCAGATGCTGAGCTTTTAGAACTGCTCCCTATTAGGTAAGTTTTTAAATGTTTCTGTCTACACAAAATAACACACCATAGTTGAGTAAATGTTCCACTCATCATCCTTCATGGCCTCACTCACCATATGCTAGGACAATGTCTCACACAAAGTCAACACTTATTAATTTTTCACTGTTGAAGCTTTTGTTCACATATTGGTGTTCTCCCTCCACAAGTCCTGTATAGTTTGTGAAATTTAAAGAGATGCAGCTCCTGTGGGTGAAGCTCTATTCTGAAAGCTGCTAAATTTAGAGCAACTGAAATCTAATGAACACCCGATACAAGATGTTTGTCCTAAAAATTTTAATTAAAAATCACAGAAAAACTACGCACTGCTAAAATTTGCAGAAGTAGTACCTGTCCCTACCACATGTGTAAATAAAGGTGAAATTGGCCAACCGTTTACAAAGTTGTTGACATCTAAATTGAAATATTGAAAAAAAAATCCAAATTATAACAAACATGCCTTGGAGAATGTAGTCCGACAAAATCAACAACTATGAACTGAGACTTAGAAAAGTTATATTGTATTGTAGGAGGAGAGCTGAACTTTAAAACGGGATGTTGTGTGGTGTTACAGCAAAGGTGGGGGTCGCCTGGTTTCAATGGTAGAATTAATGAGAAAATGGCCGTCAAAGTTGATTATTTCCATAGCTTGATAGTCCATGGACACTGAAAACTTACATTTTTTTTGTGCCTTTAATCAACGTTTTTCCGTAAAACCCACCCAAAAATGTGTTCTTAATTGGACAACAATTGTGTTCAGCCAAAAAACAAAAAATTAGATAAAAAATTACCAATCTGGCAGAAAAATGCCAGTTTCTTCAATTTCATTATTTTGGCGAACGCCTGATTTCACCACACTGCTTCACAAATGTCAAATTTCATACTATTAACAATGCAAAAAAGCTGAAATTGGTTTTTAGCTTAATATCAATGTTTCTTTCTAATCAACAAACCTTGTATCCCCTTGGTGGCAAAATGTACATCTATTGGATGGGCGAAATAAGCAGCATCATGACTCTGTGGGTTGTCAACTTGTGTCTGTCCTTCTCTCAAACCACTCAGTAACTTCCAGCCACCACCTAAGAAAGACAAAATAAAGGTTACAAAGAGTAAAAACAAACAATGAGGAAGTACTCCACATTATTCACTCACTTGACTATCTGAGAATCAGACCGATATCTCACATGATAAAAAACTTTATCTGATAGAATGATAGGAACACAAGGGCCTTCAAATACATTTTTTTTAAAGTAAGACACCATGACAGTGTCATGAGTGTCTATCGAGTAGTTTTTTTTTAAATGGCTCGGATTTTTCGAATGATTTGATGCAACAAAGAGATGAACAACGCCAAGAGTACAGATTACACTGGTGACAAATCTGGTACAAATCTACATATGAACAGTTTTTGGAACAATACGCGACATATCCATTCTTCCAGTTTTGAGAAAATGGACATTTTTGTTTTTCACTCGTTTGCTGAATAATCATGAATAACTTTGGTTTTACAGTAAACATGGTGTAAAGATTAATTGACTTTAAAATATTGATATGTTTAATTCTCATATTTTAGATTGATGAAACCTCTGCGCATGTTTTACAAAACGGGACCATACCTCCCTAGTTCAAGATCCAAAAATAAGTTTTAAAAAATATAATTTTGAGTCATTTGAGACCAAAAAAAATGTAATTATATGCACAACAAAGAACTCACCAACAGAACTCCTAATTGAAATTTCAATATCTTTGCACTATGACTAGATCTACACACTGTCTTCAAAAGAAATACCTTGCACATAACAGAAAATAACCTACATCAAGATGTCTAAATGCCATTGAACATGTGACACAATCCTCATAACTCACAAGCACAGGAAGATTTCAGTATGCTCTGACTTGGACCAATTTCCCGCACTCATTTAAGAAGAGACCTGATCCAGATGTTGCTAGTTGATCATGGGTCTATCGCACATGCGCGCAGCAAAGCAAAGTGAAGAGGAGACAATTCCTAATCACCTAAACGACAAACCTTGTCCAAGCCTAAGCCGGCGTGGTTCTTCCATCACTAGGCATAATTAATAAACATTTTATGGTCATCAAACCGGCTAGTTTACGGATAGGAAAAATGTGTAATTTTCCCACATTTGCGCACTTCCGTAATCGGGGTCGTTTTTGTGTAATAATTGCGCAAAAAGCATAAAATTAGGGGAGTGTGCGTGACATATCCACATTAACTCACTTCAGACGGGTCACACAACAGTTGCGTGACCCCCGCCGCGACGCTCGCGACGGGTCACACGAGCCTTGCGTGACCAACTTTGGAATTTTTTTTTCGCTCTACAAATCACGCACGGATCGCGAGACCCGCCTCGTACCCTTGTTTGGCCAAGCCTGAGCTACTTAGACTTCGTTTCGTATCTCTGGGGCCGGTAGTTTTTAAGTTATTGAAGGTGAAGGACAGTGACCCCAACTGGGTTTGAACAGACCGGAACTCGCGCTTTGTTTTTTTCTATACAGCTCATAGTAATCCGACAGTCGCGTCGTAGTAACGGTCGAAGAAGTCGCATGAACCAGAATCACATAATTTCGCCGTTTTCTATACTTCTGTACGTTTTACTAGTTTTAGTGTCTCAGAATATGATGTGTCTAATAGTTAGGATCCTGGATATGTACCTGAACACGGCCCGAGTCGTAGTTCTAGGGCTAGATCTAGCACTAGTACCGGTGTTGTTTTTCGCGCAACGAAATCACAACGCCGTGCCGTACATTTGTCTATGTATTTTCAGTGTATGGGTCTGAATCAATGCTCAGACCAGCTTTTATATATTCACCAAACACTCGCACATGTATACAAATCAAACCAGAACACTTTGAACTTTTATTTTTGTTGTTGTAGTGAATTTCATTCCACTTGTCACGTCTCTGGAAATTTTTTGGAAAATCAAATTCATGCTAATTTTTTAAAAATCATACAAATTAAAGTATTAAACTTAGACAACTTTGGTTTTTTGTATTAGATTAAGCTTGAATGTTACTTTACTGTGTCAAAAAATAATTACAATACGGTAATTCTGAGAGTTGTGGTGATTTATTGAAATACCCCCAAAAACGCCAGTCTTCAACGCTTGTGACTGGTGAAAGGGCCCAGTCGCAAGTGAGTTAAATTAGTAAGGAAGAGAAAGAACGTTAAAAAAACTTTTGATGACCACAAGCAAAGTCACGTGGCTCCAGGAAAGAACTTGATTTGTGTGCAGAGGTTATATGTTGCAGTTTGTCAAAAGAAAGTCTACTAGTTTTGTCGCGCTTTGTAAAAAATAAAAGTAACTTTCTGCTGGGGAAAAATTCCCTTTGTTGAAAAAAAAAAGTTGACTCTGGAGTGTGCCTCACCTTTCTAGAGATTCAATGATACTAGTTTTGGCCAAACTTTGAAAGTGGCGGTCGCTGCGTTTTATCATCAAATTGTTCATATATATTATATGTACTACCTACAATTATAGCTAATACGACAGCTACATTTTCAATTTGCAAGACTTCTAGGTTCAGGAACTTAAATGTGACCGTTCATGATCTGAATTTGAATCTTGCTGCTTTGGCAGAGATGATCATCAGCCAGGCATACGCAGACTTGTTATTTGAGCCAGAATATAAAATAGCAATGACCACGAAAAACCTTTTTTTGCCAGAAAGTGTTTGCAAATAGGTGCACTGTGTAGCTGTATCTTCACAGAGCATGGAACTTTTTGAATTTTTGAAATCCATCAATAAACAAAAAAGTTACGAATTTTTTAATCAATTAATTTTTGGTACACTTTTATATAATGAAAAAACCCCAAAATATTGGACGTTCTTTGGTGAGTTTTGAGACAATATTCGTCATAACTCGCTCATTTCTCGGAGTATGTAAAAGAAACTTGGCAACCCAGTACATTTTCTAGTGCAGAATCTAGTCCTGCTTTCAGATTTTTCATAGCTATCCTACTTTTTGAGTTATGAATATGTAAATGAAACTTGGCAGTCTGGTACATTTTTTAATGCAGAATCTAGTCATGCTGTCAGATTTTTAATATCTGTCATACTTTTTGAGTTGTAAAGACATTAACAGGTAAAAAAGTGGCGTTCTTTACAGATTTACAAAGATTATCAGTCATATATGTTCTCCCAAAGTCATGATATTTGAATGAAACTTGGCAACAAAAAAGGTTCCTCCTTGCCAAGCAATGCTCTGGATCAATTTGTCACAAAAATGTAAGTAGAGAGCTGGATTTATTAGTCTAATAAATCCAGTTCTCTACTAGTAAAAGCATGCATACTTTGTTATAGAAAATAAGATCGTCTCTGTGTATATCCATTGTTGGACAGTGTCCTATTGTGTGGTAGATTAAAATGCGTTCAGATAATATAGTTTACAAGTCATGGGAATATTTCGCATGTGCAGGCTACAACTCATACAATAAATGTAACATATTTACACCCCCCCCCCCCTTTCTCTCTCTTTCTCTGTCTCTCTCTCTCTCTCGCATGCACACACACACACATGCACGCGCACGCACTCAACGCACGTGTGAACGATAACAATGTATAAACGGGACTATCTTCCCAGACTGGACTAAATAAGTACCATCTCTTTAATAACAATCTTAATGCCTCACTTTTCCAAACAGAGCACACAGGACGAGTCCAAGTGTGTGCTTTCCCTAGAGGGACGGAATAGGCTTTCATAATGCAAACACAATGCCATACCACTTCTCAAGATGTTTGCTTTTCTGTTCCTATTCTTCTGTCATGCAATCAAGCAATTAAAAATGACTACATTTATTGTATTGTGACTAAAATGCAACAAAAACGCAAATTATCAAGGCCCCCGTTTAGTTTTCAAGTATCCTTCCCCCCATTTCCGGTTCACATAAGCGAGGCCTCGTTTGTAGCGCCCGAGGCGATCGATGGCTGACGACGTCACTCAGTGGAAATTTCCCAGCCGCCGGTCGTTCACCCAGCACGCGCTAATGGCAATGCCGTTTTTTCCCTTAGTTACTCCCATATTTTTAAAGATTACGCAAAAACCGCTAAACACAGAAGCGTGAAATTTTAAGGGAATAAAGAAAAATGGTGTACAACGTATCAGTCAGTTTGACAAATCACAGCTCCGAAAAATCTTCAAAGCGCACTACATCAACCACTTTCGCAAACGTTTTCGACTACTTCTTGGATGGGTACAAAGTTGTCAAACTGCATACTACGAGATTGACCTCTTTTCTGATTGGCTGCCAAGTTTCATTCATATATACATTCACGAGAAGCGGCGTGGGAGCGAGTTGAAGACAACAACCTTTGCGTTAGTGCATCCCACGAAACACCCCCGCTGCGGGGGCCAAAATCGGCAGAACAAAACGCGTTCGGTGGGCATTGCTATATAAAACTGTGAAAAAAAGAAAACATTGTGCATGAATCTATGTAAACACAAAATACAATATTTTACAAACCAGAATGAATGCCCCATTTGCAAAAAAGGCTGTGGTCTGGAAAGCCTGAAGCCCCAACAATTTGTCCAATCACGTGCACCTCAGCCATTTCTAAATTTGTCGAGAAATAAACTGGCAAACTTTCAATCTGCAATAACAAGAACAAGTAGATTAGAACAATAGAGCATCATAGAGGTATGGGCATGTTCTAGTAGCTATAAACATTGTTGTTTCTCACAGTGACCTTGCATTTAAGTTTGTGATGTCAGTTTGCTTATAACAAAAAGAACTTCTCAAGGCGGTCCAAGGCCTTTGTTTGTTTTCATTAAGGGTCATAAAATCCCAGACAACATTGGGAAATATCAATAAATCAATCCCAAAAGTCTAATAAATACTGTGTATACTGTTTTGAAACTTTATGGCTTGGCAAGACAATCACGCTTGCAATTTTTTTTTCTTACAGTCAAACCTCGTAATACCGCCCCATGTTATACTGCCAGCAACACTTACCAGATATCACCCAATGAACAAAGGCTGGCGGGTGCCTGTGAAGCTTTTTATATTGTGAGGGCTCACGCAAATCTACGTGACAGGTCTGAGGTGACCTTAGGAGTGACGAGTACCAGGTTTAAAACTTTTTTTACAGATTATTTATGGTTCCTGACACATACGTCAGGTATTGTGGTGAAACCAGGCGCTGGTCAAAATATAATGAAATAGAAGAAAACAGTATTTTTCCGTCAGTTTGGCAAATCAAATTTTTGTTTTCGGGCTCAACATTTTTTTGACAATTTAAAAACACATGTCAGAGTGACTTTTACTGAAAAACGTAGAATAACTCACAGCTACCCGTGCCGCATACGACGAGGTCATAGTATTACTCTTTATCATGTACCGTTTCCACTGAATCCCTTTGCTGCAGCCCCTGCGGCATTTGAGTTCAGAGGTATTTTTTCTACGTTATTACCCCAGCATATGTACTGACCTAGCATGAAAAGATTACAAATGCACTTCTGGTGCTTTGGGTGCCAAGTGCCATTAGAGGGCAACGTTTCCGTGTTTATCTCACAAAGGAGTTATATTTGCAGACAAGAAGTAAACCGATTTCATGAGCAAAAGAACAACCAAAGCATACATTAAAAAAAAAAACCAAAATACTAAATCTGGGACATTCTTGGAAGTTTTGATTGGTGTGCTCAAAATCATAGTCCAGGAATTATTCTAAAAATAACATTTTCGGCAAAAACTTACAAGCAAACTCAAGATTGTAATGTTGAAATGGGGTCTGAAACTGCTTATAATGCAGGTTCTACATCCTATATTTGATACGTGTATAAGTTTTGGAGGAATAGATACTAATACATCACATTTTCTGCACAGTTTTGTGAGATCATGAAGCATCATGAGTGCGTTTTTCCCCACGGTTTGGCAATGGCTCATATCCCTACCCTACACATGACATGCGATTAAACGTAGAATGATGCAAACTATTTTTCGGTAAGGCGCCCATCTTGCTTGACGTCAGATCAGATACCCCTCCGATCACGTGACTACATCTAAGCACAGTCGAACCTGCCCTGACGGCCACCTCTATAAGACGGCCACCTGTACAAATGGACACTTTCCATTTCCCCCCTTGCGTTTTTTCTATATAATTTAACTGTGTAAAACGGGCACCTGTCCAACGTGGCCGCGGCCAACTATTTCAGCACACAACCCCTATCACACAAAGCAATAACACCTGTCTTAGACGGCCATCTTAGTGACTCCATTAAGCTTTGTCATAAATCAAGCATTGGCCCCTGGCGTTGTGGACGAGCCACCATAATTTAAAAACCTGTCGTTGTTAGTTAATCCCTCCAACTGATCATGTTGCGTAGGCCCCTCCCACTGTTGACCAATAGGTAACTAAATTAATTTTCAGATGCTGGGGAGGGAAGCGTGTGATCCCTCATAACCCATAAGCCCCGCCCAGAATCCATACACAATAATCGCAAGTGAGATGAGTGGTCACTGTTTACCCAGTCTGTAACAAAGTCACAATGGACGTCAGCATGAACTTGAGACAGAAGCGTTGCTTGTTCTCCTCCTTGTTTGACACATTTCGTTTTATTGTCACCCGTACACAAAAGCAGAAACAAAAGAAAAGAAAACCCAGTGAAAACAACAACAACAATGTAACTACCTTCGGTTGGGACCTCAGAAAGGGAGGGTTTGTTTTCTCAAAAAGGAATGGTGTGTTTTCTTCTTCTTGATCAGTCCTGCCTAAGACAGCCACCTGTCTTATACGGCCATTTTCCTCCTTGACAATGGGTGGCCGTCTTACACAGGTTCGACTGTATAGCCAACTGCATGGCACCAAAGATGGAAGTGTCTATGTATATCATGCTTAATGTACACACCTCTCTCTCGGAAATTCTGATGGCTGAATAGACAGCGCATATTCTGCGTTTGAAGTCGCGCAATAATTTTTGGAGCGGTTCGATCCGGGTCCCGGACTGTTTTTTTTTTCTCTACTCCTCCTCCCGACTGACCAACAGTCCCATAAATTATCATTTGTAAAGCTGCTTTGTAGTTGTTGTCTTTTTAAAAAACATATTAGTGATTAAAAATGCAGAAGAGGGGGGGGGGGGGGGGGGGATGTGCTAGATCTAGATATAGATCTAATCCTCCAACGTCATTACGGCAATTTTCTAGCGGATTGTCTTTGTATTTACCGAGTTTCAATTTCAAGCATCACGGTTCTTAATCTTACTGTTCTGAGCATCAACGATCAGATCTAGAATCTAGATCTAAGCGATCTTCCATCATAATGTCCAAGTAGGTCTACTATCTAGATTTAGATCTAGATCTAGATCTAGATCTAGATATCTAGATCTAGGAAATCCGAAATGTTACCGAAAACACGTTGTTCCATGTAGGTATCCCAGGAAGTGAGGACATCACAGTACTAAAATTAGCAGTCAATCAAAAAGATTCATCTTTTCTACGTTTATTAACGGCATGTCTAGCTACCCTACCCCAGTAACTTGAAACACTAAACTAAATCCACGACTTTAGTATTGATATTCTAGTACCTCAGACCAAACCCGACATTGCCTATTCTAGATAGGCTGGATCCTATGATATTTTTGCCTTTCTAGATCTAGAATCTAGATCAACAAATTACACTAGATCTAGATCTACTACTAAACTCAACTGCAAGTTGAAACTTGATATTTCAAGCTTTTATTGAAAAGCAAAAAAAAACTTACAATAACAGGCATTCTGAAATTATGTTTTTCATCAAACGTAATTCATAACATCTAAAAATCAAAGAAATTATAAGCAAGGCTTTACAGGCAACCATTAAAGTAAAAAATATTCGAATAAAAACAAACAAATTGACAGACCGCCTAGATGAGTTCCTCCATGTTGTTATTCCTTGTTGTTAATACAAAAACTACTTGGTGGCCGCATTTAAGTAAAAGGAAAATATTTAGCAATGAGCTATATGGCTCTTTGTTGAAAAATATTGATTTTAAAATGTCGTTCTTTATATATGTCAACAGAAATCGTTCGTAAAATTTTATTTTGAAAATTTTGTCAACACCAGGGTTGCGAAAATAGCTGGACAGCAGCTTTACAAGTTCTTATATACATCAACAATCGCGACCAACATGTCTGGCGACGAAGAGCTCGCGCGAAAATTGCAAGCTCAGGTTATATTTTTTTTTCTCTCCTGTTTTCCCTTTTGTTTTGTGTAGAAATAGCGAGCCATCCAAGGGCATATAGTGAAAATATATGGCTTCTGCTTCTGTTTGTAAATTTGCATGACCTCTTCTCATTAAATGAGGTTGCATTTTGAGCATCAACAGCTGGCACTGGCACTCCTTCGAACTTCAATATTATTAAAGTAAAAACGAAAGTAGATTCTAGGCCTGCAGCAGAATTAATTAACGTTTGGGCTTAGAACTAGATATGCAACTTGGACCTGACCAAATCATCACTAATGATCAGAAACACTCACCCTTCTTCTAACATTTACTATGGCATGTCGGTCACACTTCGCCTAAGTGCCCGGCCCAGGTGAGACTTGCCAGCATTGGCGGCATTGGTCTCCTGGTGTAAAACAAGACCTGTTTTTCCTTATTTCTGAATACTTTCTATCAGTGTTGATTATCAAATTGACAAAAATATAACAGAAAAAAATGATGTTTATAGCAGAGATAGCACAAAATTTAAGTAACAAGCTAATTTTGCAGTCTCCAAAGATGATACGGCTATTTACTTTAAAAATCTTCTAATAGAGCCGAACTACGCTGATCGCCATTTTATTTTGCCTGGAAGTACTCGCTAGATCTAGATCTTGGCTACTCCTTCTCTCTCTCTCTCTTTCTCTCTCTCTCTCTTTCTCTCTCTCTCTCTCTGCTCTTTCTCTCTCTCTCTCTCTCTCTCTCTGCTCAGTCTCTCTCTCTCTCTCTCTCTCTCTCTCTCTCTCTCTCTCTCTCTCTCTCTCTCTCTCTCTCTCTCTCTCACTCAATGCAGACAAATTTGCACGCTTTCAACACAGGAGTGCTGGAATGTTTGTCTACACCACAAAATTCAATAAGAGTAGAATTCTGTGGTTTACACTGGGTATCATGGTGAACGCAACTGGGTGAGAATTACCCAAAGTGACCAAAGGCTTGCCCTCTCACCCCGCGTGAGGCCTACAACTGCGCTGTGAGAATAGAGGTGGCCCTTCGAACTTCCTAGATCTCTAGAATCTAGATCAGGCCACTTTACTTGCCACTGCCTCTGTCATTCTGGCATTCCCATTATTTAAAAACCAGGCAAGTAAGTACCTTTTCACCCTCAGTGCACTACTGCCGGTATGGGAAGGACTTCCGTAACAAGCGACCACCACCCGAAAAGCACAATTTCACCCTCAGGTGCACTACTGCCGGTATGGGAAGGACTTCCGTAACAAGCGACCACCACCCCAAAAGCAACAATAAAGTAGCTCTACCTAACCCTAACCCTGACCCAACTCCTACCGTACCCCTACCCTTACTAAGTCCCTAACCCAAAGCTTAACCCTTACCCTATCCCTAACCCTAATCCTCTATTCTACTCTGTTTCTTTGTGGTCACTCGTTACGGAATTCCTCCCCGATGATATTATATGTAAGGCAGCATGGTGAAATTATATATACACTCATCAAAATAATGAAAGTCAAGAAACTGGCATTTTTCTGCAGGTTTCGGAATTTTTTAATCAAATGTTTGTATTTTGGGCTCCACACCTTTCATACCCCTTGAAGAACATGATTCTTTGTGAATTTTACTAAAAAAAAACATTGATTAAGGTCATGAAAGATTAAAATTTTTAGTGTCCATAGACTCTCAAGCTAAGGAAACTCAAGTTTGGCAGCCTTTTTCTCACTAATTTTACCTCTGAAACCAGGCGACTCCCTCCTCCTTCAATCGCTAATGTCTTGACTTGTATCCATGATAAATGGATATATAATATTTTTTTCCTCAAAAGCAAGGCAAATGGAGAGGCTTTAAGATGATACCAGTAACTCATGCCCCAAAATTGACAAACGCCTGATTCCACCACGCCATGACTCGGAGAAAGGATTCCTGTCCAGGACCAGGCTCGTTTCCTCGGAATAATTTTGACAAAAAACTAACACCATATTATATTAAAAGAACTTTACATGAGGTGCTTTGCCTTACCTAACCCCTTCGTTGCCTTATGATGTAACAGGTACATCATGAAATTTAATTACATATTTTTTAGCCTTCTGCTGTACCATGGATGTCACCAAAGTGCGCAAAATTTGCCACTCCTGATTGAATGATGTTACGTGTATGCTAATGACCTGCCTGGATTCGTATTCGGGAATTAAAGACGTGCTTGTATCAGTACCAAATGACTTTACTTCTAGCTTGCAAACTATTAATGAACGCAGGTCTCATCTTGCAGACAGTCACTTGCTCTCTTAAAACTGAACAGCCCAAAATGAATTTTTTTTTAAACATGAAAATTTTTTTTTTTTTAGCCATGCAAGTTATTAAAAATTATGAGTAGGACAGGGGATATAAGGACTGAGGGCAGTGAGAAAAGTTACACGGTTAAAAGACTATCCATGGCAATATTATGAATTTTTAAGCCAGATCACAATTTTTTTATTTGTTGAGTACAGAAGCATAAAATGCTGATGGATGGGCAGTCCTGCTCTTAATCTGACTCGGCGGTAGGCACCACCATCCCATACCATATGGGTGAAAGTTCGCCGGCATTTTTAACCCCAACAGACTTAGATATGCCGTTTTTTTAGACTGGTTCCGGCACTCAGCACGTGCGTGTGTTAAAACCGGGGACTACGCAACAATTTATATAACATACAAAACGATGGTCTTGAAGTAGGACAGTAATCCTGAACAGCTGCCTTATTTTCAAGTGCAGGGTAGGCCCATGAATATGCTAAAACTTATTTTTTGTATATATATGTTTTGTTGTCTTTGCCATCTTGTCTTTCTGGACAATGACTTTCAGGTTTGTGAAACTTCCCACCCAACCTCTTCAGGCTTTTTAAAGTCACTCATGTCCCATACACAAAACGACTTTCACCAGAGGAGGCTACATTCAGAGGTCTCTCTATTTCTTTTTCAGAGGCCACTGCCATTGACATGACATTGGACTATGTAGAAAATTCTCTCAAGCCATCTTTTGTCTTTCTGTCCAATTCGTTGTCTTTCATCTCTTTACTATCATATTTATACACTGAAATAGGTAAATTTTCATTACAGGTGAGAATTCATTCCTTGACTGAACAGGGAATACACATTGTGTTTGCATGGCTACCTAGCGCTTTAAGAAAAGACACTTCTTTCATTCTATTTAGTTTAGTTATTTGTTAATATATTATGTGCCTCTGTTTTCAGTTTGACCAAGAACATCGTAAACAGCAAGAAATGGAAGAAAAAGACCGGGCCATGGCTCGCGCTGTTGCAAAGGCTCATTCCATGTCTGATTCTGAGGATTCAGACTCTGCAAATGATACACATAATGATACAGGAATAAGTGGGTCGCAAGACCTGTTTGATTCTTCCAGTGACAGCAGTTTCCTTGCCAGTGCATCAGGTTTGTATGAATGTCTTTAGTTCTTGATCTTTCCTCTTTATTATTAAGTTCAGTAATATTTTCAACAATACATAATGAGTGCCACTTTGCCTTTAAAAAAAAATAGACATTACAAGGTGACGTAGACTGTGTGGGTCTCTAGATTTGCCAATTAATACATGCTACGGCTGTGATTTTCCTAAATAGAAAAGGCATGTATGATATTGAGAATGCGAACAAACTTTTGAAAATGTCTTTCTGTTAAAAATGTTTACCATTTTCTGACAGTTGTTTTATTTGTTTTCTGATTGTTCTGAATGATACAACAGAAAGTTTCCTTGCACCTTGTAACACCAACTAATTAATATTATTTATGTTCTTGTGGGGACAAGACTTATATATAATAAAGTAATGAAAAATGAAGTCTTTCCTAAAATGCAAGTTCAGTGTCATTTATCTTTCCTGAAGTTGAAACTATTTAGGAGGCTTAAGAATTGAGGCATTTTCCCTGGTTTCTTTCTTTCTCAAAGTGGGCTGTTTGAATCTCATCCGAATTCTTTTTTCTGACTCTAGTTCTGACCAGAATTTTGATATGTTGCTTGACAGATCTGTTCTCAACCCCCGGGGCAGTGCCACTGACTGTAGTGTCTTTAGGCCATTCCCAAAGGGGGGACATTTCTTGTTCAAGCACAGTAGAATTGTAAATGGGCTGATTCATTATGTCATGCTCATAACTGTGCCTGATCTACAACAGGGAACTGCTGCTTTTTCTTTCCAAATCCTTACTGTACTATCATATCGTCATTTTTCCTCTACTTCTTTTGTATGTTTGTCACTCTCTTGTGAACTGCTATTTCTGGGGTGCCTTGATAGTCGAAGCAGACCTTGTGCTGTTGAAGCTAGAGAGGTGAGCAGAGTAAGTCTGATTGCTTGTAAAGACTTCTCTGTTGACATTGCCGTAAAACCCTCTGCTAAAAAAAAAATCTGTTCTCTTCTCAAAAGAATTGAATGAGATATCTGTGGATTTCTTGAGAGGTGATCCTGTGTTGGCCTGTCATTTTAACCTTTGAGTTCCAGCCTTTCCCTGATTCTGGTTTATCCCAGAGTCTCAAGCCTGCATTGTTATTCTATATATAAATATATACCAAAAGGAACTGTAATTTTACCCTTTTCTTTATTCAGACTTGCTCAAAACAGATCCTTTGCTTTGATGAAAACCGAACTAAAACAGAAGGATAGTTTGTGAATAAAGAATGGCGTTGTAACTGATTTCAAATAGTTGTGAACAAAACAATATGCGTTTTCAGTAAATACGGAAATTGGGACTCAGCACCTAATCTGTCAATCGTTAAAATTGGGATTGAAATGTTTAAGACTATTGGTGGACTTTTTAGCTGAGTGAGGTTCTGCTAGATTCTTAAACGCTTTCTCTTTGACGTTTTGCTGGGATGCCAAATCTCCGGTTTTCCCGGCTTCTTCCATTTTTTTTCATCCGTTAGAATACACTTGCAAAGGAAAGGGGAGAGGTGAGAGAGACGTTTTGTTTGCTCCTTGAAAACCTTTACAAGGTTCGTTTTAGGTGAGATGTGATGCTCCTCTCATTTTCAGTTGTTGTTTTTTTTAATCCTTTGGCATCCCTGGTTATGACATTTCTATTGGGAGAGAATTACAAATTTTCTGGGCACAAAAAAAACCAAAACCTTCCCCCAATTGTTATTCTTTGAGTGTGTTTAAGGTAGTATTGCTGTTCAGATCTCATTTACGACTTCATAGAATTTATTTTAGATTGTACATTTTCAATCATGGGATTATTTTGCTTCAGCAAAATCCAAGGGCAGTGGAAAAGCAGCTTCAGATTCAAAGACATCCGATGATCCTTACAGTGCAGACACTGATGTTGAAGAGGAAGAGAAAGTGAACAAGGACTCAAAGAAGCCTTTATGTAAATATGGTAGCAAATGCTATCGCAAAAACTCATCTCATGTGAAGGAATTTTTTCACCCAAGTATGTTTCTACTACATTTTCGGAAATTTTCCTTTTTTTCATAGTTTCTTAAATAAGTACAATTTTTCGTTTTTGATAATGTTTTAAAGTATAAAAGAAATATTTAATTCTTGCTTGTGTCCATGTGCAATATTATCTTTCTTCAGTTATTGCAGAAAGATGTGTCATTTCAAGTAAAATTGCATTTGAAATTCTGGGCTTGAGGATTTCTCCTGAAGTTGATTTCTGTATAGCATTAAACATTTGTTATGCAAGGACTTTATAATGAAACTATTTGGTTTATTTCGATCAGCATATGGCATATGCCTTTAATTAAATCAAACATATACTCATAAATAAGGGAATTACATACTGATTTTCGCATTTCTCCAGTGGGTGAGTATTGTATAGACCCATTGCATTCTGCTGGAAGCACTACTCCTCTACTAATTAAACAGCTCACATGTATATACTGGGATACCTGGAGGTGTCATCTCTTGCCCAGAGGTTGACGTGCAAAGACCCATCAATGCTCGCGATGGCTAAGTACCTTTAGGCACTCTGTCATATGGCTAGTCTATTCTTCGATTTTGAAAATATCTATGAGTTACATTTATGTTCAGATGTAGATGTGTGATGTTTGAAGTCAAACCTCATTATACTGCCACCCTTGGGACAGGCGGTTCAACGGGATTCCTCTGTTTCATAGCCCTGGCTTCCCAATGTCAAGGAACATAATTCTGCTGTGCAATCTGAGTTTGAAAAGTGTCTTTTTTGTTGGTGATGTACATGCACATGTATTCAGAGCTGATAGTCTTCACTGTCTCTAGCTCTATGTCTTTTTCGTGGGAGAAAGATGATAAGCAGCCAAGCAGTGAGTGTCGTGTGTTCTGTGTACTACTGGCGGTCAATTCACTGGCGGGCGAATTCGCTTTAGTTTAATAAGACTGTTGGCGGATGGCGAAGTAAAGGCGTAAATATTATTTTAATATAGGCATCCGTCTTTGTACATAAGTGGCAAAACCTGGGGGTAAGCAGGGCTGGTGGTACAAAGGGGGTTGGTGCAACAAGGTTTGACTGTACTGTGCTGGATCATCTCTGTCTTCATTCCTCCTTCTCCCCCTCTATTTTGCTCTGGTTTATAGACCTGTTACTCTACTTTCAAGATGACTTAACTTATTTGTGTTCAGTGTGGCAAAAGAAAAGAAAAAAAAGCAGAAACGAATAATTTTTAAACTTTCTTTCTGTATGTTATGATGTCTTCAAAATGTGGGTTATTTTCATTATTAGGTAAGAGGACACACAAAGAACCTCAAGGAAAGTCACCGTTGCCTGAGAAGAAAAGGAAGAAAGATGATGAAAAAACTCCACAAGATGTTTTTGAAGAATTTCAACCCTTCAGTCTTTTTTTAACGAAGGTGAAAGGCATTCCAGATAAATTCAACAACACAGGAGCTCTGAGTTTGAAAGGTATGGCATTATTTTTACAATGACATCAAGTTCAGGGTCTCTTGTTTAGCTTAGTAAACATTTATCTCTCTTTTCAAACATCTTGATAGAGTAAAAGCAATGCTGTTGTTGGCTGTTCTTTCTCTCCTTGTAATGTTTTCTTGCACAGGTGCGAAAACCTGTGTCTGTTCAGTAAAAAGAAAGTTTTCTGAAACACGGTTTAGAGAATTATTGAACGTAAAATATAAAGATTGCGTTTGACTATGTTTGAGGTAGTTTTGATATTTAAGAAACATTTTTCCTCAGACATTCTGTCTACCTCGATGGGGCAACTGAAAGAGTCATGCCACTTTAATTTCATGTTTGACATGCCGTGGTTGATGTCACAGTACCCTGAGCACTTGAGGTTTGTTGTTGCACTATTGCTGTCCTCATTCTAATATATTTGGTGTGTGTGTGTGTGCCAGGACAAATGGTCCCTTTAAAGCACAAGGGGGCTATCCCAAAAAATACTGTTTTGAGAAAATCGAAGGGAAAGTTTTTGCCCCTTCTTCAGTTTTTATAAAAGACAAGGAGAGTTTTCTCTATAACCAAACAAACATACACACCAGTAAAACCAAACTTCTCCTACAGGTAGGGCAATGCCCACTTTTCGTGTAGGTCAAGATTTCTGGAAGCCCCCGTAAATTAGGTTAGCCCGCTTGTCCTTAAAAGCGACCAAATATCTTAGAATTTAGAAAATGTGGGATTTTAAGTAAAGGGTAGGATTTCATCTTGTGGCACGATATCGTAACTTCTAACTTTTATGATGTGGATGTATCATCATCTCTCTCTCTCTCTCTCTTGCCCTTTTTTAACTCCCAGTGGAGCATAGGCCATCAACAACATTTCTCCAGCGAAGCGTATCCGGTACTTCTTTTTCTAGCTGTTTCCATGATGTCCCCGCCTATTCCATTTCCGCCTGTATCGCTCGCCTCCATGTCATCTTTGGTGTTCCGTTGTTACGTTTTTCTTGGGGATTCCACGTCAAAGCCTGTCTGATGATGCTTGTCGGGGGTCTCCTCAGGATGTGTCCATTTTCTGCATACTCATATTTCCCAGAAAGTTTCAAAGCACATATTCACACTTTTTTATTTAGATGAGTTGTAAAGCATTTGGTTTCTTTCACATATTTATTATGGAGGAATTTAAGATGTGTTTTAAAGCTCTGCTGCTGTGTCATAAGCTTGAAAAATGATTTATTTATGACTTGTTGGTGCCGACCGACTGTCATGTTCACCTCTACTGAAGCAGATTTACACAGAGAGAGAAGCTTGCTAGTCTGTTTGTCTTTGTTCTTATTTGTGCAGCCTCTTGAATCATTATTTGAGAGAAGACTGCCCACTTCAGTCGAGTTATTGATATGTTCCAGAAAGTTGCCTGTGTTGTTAGTGCATGGAGAACAAGGGAGAGATGAGATCAACATGAAAGCAGAGGCAACCCAGTTTTCAAACATCTCTCTGTGCAGGGTATGTCTGATTGTCACATTATTGAAATAATGAGCACACAAATCTTTGTGTGCTGTTTATAAGTACACTGGTGAAATATTATGCAAATTTAATTTTGAAGTACTTCTTTGAATTGTTCTAAAAATACGAGTTCTACAAAAAGGTCTACAAAAAGGTAGGTGTTTTTTTGTGTTGGGGTTTTTAGTTGTGTTGTTTGTTTGTTTTTTTGTGTTTTTTTTTTTTGGGGGGGGGGTTATATGGAAATAATTGTGTATTATCTTATCTTTGTTTGATGATGGCATTGGAAAACAGAATCTTACCTTGTATTTCAGGCCAGATTGGAAATTGTTTATGGAACCCACCACACGTAAGTGTTTGTTTTAGAATGAAACTTTTATGGTAAATATGTCCCTTGTCTGTTGCACATTACTCTTTCAATATTGCTAGGGTTAGTATATACTGTAAATTATTTAAATGCACTGTTTGAATTGTAGTGCAAAAATAATTTTGCTGACAAACTTTTTATCTTAATTGGAAAAACGTAGAAAATGAAACTTCTTTTCCATAGGCTTTTGGAGTATTATTTTTTACTGTATGTTGTGAAAGTCTTTGCTGTTGTACACAGACGATGTGAGCTCTATTTTTCAGATGGGAGTTAGCTTATGAAATATTTCCACCTATCAGCTTAGATGCTGTGTCCCACTCAACCTGCCTTCCAGATGATTTACATTAATCTTTTCTCTGCGCTATGGGCATGCCTGGTATATCCTTGAAAACTTGTGTTTTGTTTCGTATGTGTCTTCACTTCTACAGCAGGGCTGCCAACCTTTCCGATTTTGTCATAATCATTATGATTTTTTAGCCTCACTTCGAAATTCCTATTGTAAGGCGATTTATTACAATTTTTACCGTCAGCAGATTTTTAGCTATAAAAAATGTTTTGGCTCTTTTCAAAAATTTAAAAAGTCTTAGTGCAGACCTGTAAATCGTCCGCCAATAGTCGGAAAACCGCCAATCTCTAATCAACCCCCCGCCTCCCCCCCTCCTTTAAAAAAAAGGAACAGCTGGCCCACATCGCGCCAGTTAGCCTTACCCACAATAATACATGTACCATACACGAGTAGAAGCATAGAAGAGACCCAAGCAGTCATATTTTTGTTCGTTGTAATATAGTAATTTGAAAATGAGAGCACTATGACTAACTTTTATGGGAAATTACTAATTTTCTTCATGGTCATTACTAAAAACCATGGAGATGGGTTGGCAGCCCTGCTACAGGTTTGAATGAAGAAAATTACATCCACATCTTCATTGTCCTCTAGCTGGTGGGATCATATTTATTTTTAGGCTTCTATGTTTGAGAATCAAATGTGGTAGCATCTAGAACAAAGTGAGGTGTATATATAGAGTGTTGGGAACCAAAGAACTTTCCCTAGGACATGGGACAGACTTATGATTAGCAGGTGAGGGGTTAAGTTGATGGGGACATGAAACTTTTGTAGCCGATCTATTTACAATCCATTGACCTATATGTACACAATTGTATGGTTACTTCTTTCTTCCAGAAAGATGATGCTGTTGTTATACAAGTCCGGTATGCGGGTTGTTATTCACACTGCAAATCTCATTCCTAACGACTGGCACCAGAAGACGCAAGGGTAATAACACTTATTTATAGCATATCATTGAACATGTGCTGTCCATGACTCCTTTAAATCGCTGTAAATTCTAAAAATTTATTAGAGTTAAATTCTGAATCAGTCAAGCTTATCTTTTTGTCATGACATTTTATTGATTGTACTTAATGCATTCTCTAATTGAAAGTTTTGATGAAAACTGTAAAGCATTATAGTGGCATGTTTCAAAATAGTACTAGCAAGAGAGTATGTGTGCATGCCTAGTAAAAAAGTACCTGAAGATGTATTTGTTCAAACTGAGTTACAGGGAAATGAAGGTAAAAAATCAATTACTTAAATAAAAAATTGAGTTCCATTTAATAAATGATTCTTTAGCCATATATCTATTGATATTTACAAGGCTTTATGTTTATTTTACACTAAAAATGTAATTTTGAAGATGTTTTTGACGCTAGTCATCTTATATTTTTTATTCTACATATAGATCAGGTTAAAATGGAAGAATATGAGACATCATACATGCATTATTATTGTCTCAAATTAAAGTACCCTCAATAACCTTTCCATTGATAGATAAGACTAGATATAATTGAACTGACCTTCTCAATGAGTTACTGGAATTTTTTTACAACCATCGTCTTTAAGGTGACCTTTTGTGTTTAATGTAATGACTTCATTTTGCTGTCCATAGGATTTGGGTGAGTCCGTTGTTCCCCCCCTTGACCCAAGGTGAGAAAGGTGACTCCCCCACTGGCTTCAAGACTGATTTGCTTCAGTACTTGGCTGCGTACAAAGCACCAAGGCTAGCACACTGGGAAAGACACATACAAGCTCATGATATGTCATCTGCAAAGTAAGGACACGTTTTTTATCTAACTCTTTTCATGGGAAAAAAATTAAGCTCACATTGTTTTTCTTCTGTCTTTTTCTGTGTACCTCTGCTAAAGCTCAGGGGGGGAGGGGGGTAACTGACTCTTAGATGTTCTTCTCATAGGGTATTCCTTGTGTCTTGACCACTGCCAAAGTCCTGAGACTGACTTTTTATCAAGCTCTTAGTGTTATGATTGAACACAAGTTAAGAACTATTGTTAAAAAGTTTCTAAATTTTTATCGTGTTCAGTGTTGCTGTTATCAGGGATGGAAATTTTCCATATATTTATGGAAATCCCTAATTTTGATTTGCTCCGTCATTTTCCGTAAGTGAGACCTGACGTCCTGTCTCCTTTCTCTTCTCAGAAAGTGCTTCTCTCTAACTCTTTCTTCTCTCTCTGTTCCTGTCTCTTTATCTTTCTCTATCTCCCATTCTCCACTGTCTCCCTTTATCAACCCTCCTCCCCCCACCCCTTCTCTCTCTTTCTCTCTTTTTTGCGCCCTCTCTCTCTCTCTCTCTCTCTCTCTTTCTCTCTCTCTCCCTCTCTCTCTTCCTCTCTCTCCCTCTCTCTTGTTGCACTGGGGTTGTTTGCCATTATTGTAGATAATAAAGCAAAAGTAAAAACTCCGTTTCTAGATGAAGAAGGGTAATTTAATGATGAAAATAATATGAGGTCTGCCCTCTCTGGCTTCACTGACAAGACTAAATAAATCATAACGAGCATGAGTACATGTGATTGAAACAGGAAGGAGGAGTGAGTAAAGATCACTAAGATCAGACAATCTTTGTTGTGAGGGTAGATAAATAAAAGTAGGGCCTACAATTACAGGGACATAATTCAACATGTTAATATAAGGACCAACAATCCAGGATTTATTGTTTCCCTTCTGTATATTGATAAAAGCAATCTAATAGTCTAACATCTCTCCCCCCCTCTCTCTCTCTCTCTCTCTCCCTCTCTCCCCCCCTCTCTCTCTCTCTCTCTCTCTCTCTCTCTCTCTCTCTCTCTTTCATTCTCTCTGGTCCTGTCCCTGTCTCTTTCTCTCACTCTTTCTCTGCCTGTCAGTAAATTTTGGACTGATAAGTTTCCATCCCTTTGTAATGCACATAGTTATTACCTTTTTCTCTACCCAATATCTTTCAGTTTTGCCCTTGGGCTTCATATCTGTGTCTGTATAACCATTTGGTTGAGATTTAGATTTTAAAAATCCCTTCACTGCCTTGCCAGAGACTGTCTTGGGCTCCTTGCTAGGGTTGGTAAGCATGCCTGGCAGTGAAATATTTAAAAGAACATAACAGTCTGACCATGGGTTTTTCTGTTAACTTTTTATTTCAGTGTACACATTGTTGGCTCTGTCCCTGGAAGACATACTTTGAACAGCAAGTCCTGTTGGGGCCATCTCAAGCTGAGAAAAGTGCGACGTTTTCTATTTTATACAAAGAATTTTAGCCTTTACTTTAAATAAGAAATATAGACTTGTGCCTAATATGTTTTAGAAAATTTCGTTATTATTGTGAGTTCTGAAATTGCAACCCCATCCTTCCATTGTCTCCACCATCAAACCCCTCCCCCCGAAAAAAAATAAAAAAAAATAAAATAAAATCAGTACTTAAACTAAACATCAGATCATATAAAATGTTCTCTTCTACCCATTTCTTCTCTTTCTTTTGTTATTCAGATTTTGTCTGAAAGAGGTCCCGAGCAAGGGTTGGTGAAGAACTGGCCAGTGTCTGGACAGTTCTCAAGCATAGGTTCTCTTGGAGCCACTAAAGATGCGTGGATGTTGGGTGAATTTGGAGATTCGCTCTCAACCTGCAAAAAGGCTTTTGCAACTCCTTTACCTCATTCAAAATGTCATTTGGTGAGTTGTTTTGTTTCAAATTACCATTCAGCTTTCGGTTTTTCCGGAATTTTGACCGGAAAATTCTTATCTTTAGGGTGATGAATGTTACTTTTAAAATTATTTTTTTCTGCTGTTTCTTTGCACCTGCTTGACGTTGTAGTACTGAAGATATTGTTCAGCCTCTCTTCCAAAGCTCAAAACTATCAAGAACTCTCTGTTACTCTCAAAGTTGAGTGTTAGCTCAATCCAATCAACTATAACAGAATTTTTCAACAGCTTTCTGTTTAGGAGCCTTTGAAGTTTTTTAAACAGATACTGAGACAGGATTACCTGCACGTTAGTACTGGAAATTTTCAAAAGTCCAACAATATTTTCCTACCATATTTGCTCTAGTAAGTGAAATGCCTATGTCACATAGAAGATGTGAGAAATGTTAAAAGCCCTTTTCTAGGAAGAACTAATGGAGAGAAGGATGAAATAAAAGTTTGACAGTTTTTATTCCAAGATGGCTACAACGGGACCTGACCCTATCTGCGATTGACTTAACTCTTTCCAGACGTATCGCAGATATACTTTTGTTGTTGTGTGTTACGGCTCTCGCAACTGCATAAGGTCATATGAGTGCGTGGGACACGTTAAGCATTTTCAGTTAGTAGGAAATTTTTTAATATGCCTTGGTGGCAGCCGAAGCCTACTGTTATCGATTTTAGACCTCCAAGGGATCTTTAACCTGCGCAACTTGCACACAGGACCTCCAAGATTTTTTACCATTGTCCGAGAAGGATAGGTGCATATCTTTCCTACCATAAGATCAGGTGTGTGGCTGAAAGACAGCAGGAAGAAAGAGCCAAAGAGTAGCAGTAGAAAGGCTGCAGAAAGAGTCAGGAGCCCAGAGGAGGGGGTGTGAAGGAGGTGAGGGGGTGGGGGCAGAAAGTCGAGACGAAAGCCCACGACAGAACATTGCTAGAGAGCAGGAAAGGAGGTGAAAGGAGACTATTTTAGAGAAGAAAATGTACCCTCGCTACCCGGATTCGAACCCAGGATCTTTGAATGAGAGGCGAACTCCTTAACCTCTGGACCACAAGAGCCCCTAAAGTGACATTGAGATCTCTGTCTTAAGGTGTAAGGGAAAGACAGCAAAATAGGCATATATATTGGACATATATTTTAACATGTAAAGATAATACAACAAAGGGAAGTTTATATACAAGATGAAGCAGCAAAGGGAATTTCATTCTTTGGATCCCTATCCTGACTGCCATTGGCTTTTTTTGGCATTTAATGGCTATTTTAGCCACTTTGGCCATCATTACATTCCAGTTGTTGTAGTTGTTATCAATTCAGTATGGAGAGAGAGTTAGAGGAAGAGACAGGGACAGGACCAGAGAATGAGAGGGAGAGAGAGAAAGAGAGAGAGAGAGAAAAAGAGAGAGAAAGAGAGAGAAAGAAAAAGAGAGAGAGAGAGAAGGGGTTGGGGGAAGAAGGCTGATAAAGGGAGACGGTGGAGAATGGGAGATAGAGAAAGATAAAGAGGCAGGAACAGAGAGAGCCGTTACAGGACATAAAATATTGAACAAACAGTACTGTTTGTAGTGATGCAGCAGTGTGTTCTTCTTCAACCACTATGTATTGTAAGATCAGCAGTCTGAGCAAGGAGATGAAAATCCCTAAATTTCAACAAACTCGCATGGATAAACATAAGTCTAAGTAAGTGGCTGAAGCTGTACCTTTAGGACCACTCAGCCCTTACTTTGTCTGTCTATTATTTTTCAGTGTTTCTCTAACATCATACAACATTTATTTGCAGTAGAATTCAAGGTGAAAAAGTGACATCATAGTATGATAATCTTTTCTGTTTGGTAGATTTTTCCATCAGTGAACAACATCAGGCTGAGCCTAGAGGGATACAATGGTGGTGGATGTGTTCCCTACAGCATAAAGACTGCTTCAAAACAAGTCTGGATGGTGCCTTTCTTTTGGTACGTTATCGCTGATACATATGTCAGACATTGGGGTGAAATCAGGGGTTCGTCAAAATAATGAAATCGAAGAAAATGGCTTTTTTTTTGCTGCCAATTTGGCAATATTTTCGAATTTTTGTTTTTTCTTTCAACACCTTTTATGTCTATTTAAAAACATCGTGGATTTTAGCAAAAGACATTGGTTAAAGGCACAGAAAACCTTAATGTTCATTTCCCAAGGGTTCTCAAACTATAGAAGTAGTCAAACTTTGGCTGTATAATTTTACATTTGAAATCAAGTGACCCCCATCATCTTCGTTCCAAAATATCTCGACTTCTATTCAAGATAGATGGGTATTCTTTTTTTATCGAATGCAAGACAAATAAAAAGCTTAAAGATGATTCCATTAACTCCTCATCCCAGATATTGTCAAGCGCCTGATTCCCCTGCGTCTTGTCAGTTTGTAAGTCAGTTATGTTCATTTTCAGTCTGATAAAAGTTTTATGATGCTTGTAACTACCTAAGATCATATGAGCGGGCATGACACAAGTTAATTGTTTTTTGGTTAGTTCATAGTTCATCTTGGGTTTTGCTTTGCAGGTCACAATGAAGTATCTAAAAATACATTGTAGCAATTCAATTTTAAAAGCAGCAATTTATATATGTTTCACGACGCGGTGGAATCAGGCGCTCATCATTTTCTGGGCATGTGGGGTTATTGGTATCATCTGAAAGTTGATTTATCTGATTTGCTTCCAATAAAATGTATATCCATTTATGTTTAATAGAACTCAAGATATTTGCGATTGAAGGAAGTGAGGTCGCCTGTTTTCAGTGGTGAAATAAGCGAGAAAATGGAATTTTATCTTCACTCTTTCTTTTTCTTTTTCTCTTTTCATCTTTCTTCTATCTTTTCTTGTTTCTTTTTGTATTTTTTTTTTTTTGGGGGGGGGGGGGGTAATATTTGTATACATTGCCATCAGTTAATTTATGTTCTTCCTCTCGTACTGTATGTATTTACATATTCTGAATTTTCAAGATTAAAAGGTTAGCTGGTAATGGAGCCCTATACATTTTGAAAATATATGTTCTGGTTTAGTCTGCTCCTTCCGCTTCTCTATGTTACTTTCATCCTTATCTGGTCCTAACTAAATGTAACTGCAGATGTTTTACGCCCTGTGGTGTAAGATGTTCATAACTACGCGTCTGTTTAATGTGATCATTGTTAAGCTGACTTGTAGTTATGAGCGTCTCACAATTACTTAATTAACAGCCATGACCTTCAAGTCAGGATATAGGAATGAGAATGCACTCTTAGCTTTAGATAATTAAAACTCGCTCTAATTAGTGCTATCATAACTTTGATCCACAGTCAGTGGAGTTCAGAGGGTCGAGGGAGGTCGAGAGCAGTCCCGCATATAAAGTCGTACTCTCGTTTCTCTCCAGATGGGACGGAGGCCGCATGGTTCATGGTCACAAGGTGAGTATTGTCATGGACTGGGGAAAAGACCCCACGCTGCTAGGTCAACATGACCGGGGTCAGCTGCCGGTCACTCTACCTGCGGTCACTCTATGTGTGGGGTTACATACCACGCCCATTTCACAATTTTGTCTTATCGCTCACAAATGATTACAGAACTGTCAACATATACAAAGAATTCCATTTATGAGATTTTGCATTAAATACCGGTACTTGGTTTGTGAAAGCGCAATTAAAATATCTAGGACACCTTTTTTTTTTGCTACATGTAACCAAAAATAGCCCTGGTAATTATTTTAACCCTTCAAGCGGTGCTTTTGACTACTGTCATGAGGTCTGTGTTGGTCCCCCAGCGGCGTTCGTGACTATTGTTGCGAATACAGGATGGTACATTTTCTACTCACCACAAAGCTTCTGTGCTTCCTATACACTGCAATCTGCTACAAGATGAAAGAAGAGTGGTTTCTACTCTTTTGGGCAACTGAATTATAGAGATTTTTATGAATGAAAATCCTGACTCCGTTTGTTTACATTGGCTGCTCGTGATCAAAATGGCAACTCTGCTAGATCTAACTTTGTTACAAGAACCCAATCAAATCAAAACTTACGCAACCTTCTTGACAGTCTGTATGAGGACGACATCAATGAGACAGAGGGTGAAATTAATGTTCCAATTGTGAACAATTCACACGTCATCCTGAACATTCTGTCACGGATTACCACACAATATGTGTTTACAAACTTTGAACTGAATTCTCTGACAAAAGCAAACAAACAAAACGAACATACACAGCAATAAATGTTGAGTAGAAAATTTATTTCCAACTCTTATATATTTTTCTATTCATCATTCATTTGTGGTTGTTATGATGTATGATACAAGTTTCTTCCTTCAGTGGGATGTGTTTTATGATTGTTTTTCTGACTTTTCCGTGCATCAGTTTAGCTTAGGCAAAAATATTCTGCCACTGAAGGCCCCTGGAGTTCAGAATTAATTCACCGCTCGAAGGGTTTATCCCTTCTTGGCCTATATGACGTAGGTTGTTCGTCATTTTTTCCTACCCGGCAAATGAGCCAAGATGCTGCTGGGACGTGTTCATTTTGCCTTGCGAAGCGCGAGGACCATGAAGATGGACAACATTCATTATAGTGATCACAGATTAACATACGTGAATATTTTTTTTATACAAAGAATTCTTTTTCTTTTAGATATAGTTAGTAGTATTTGCAAACTGGGTCTAATAAATTGACTACTAAATCTATCGCTACTCTGTGTTCCTGGAGATCCAAAACTGCTCAGTGAAGCATGAGCTGACCCTGTGTCATGAAGGGGTTAATGTACACCTGCAACAACCATCCTTTCGACAATGATTTAATCTATATACATTATATGAAAATAGGTTTTTCTTTTCCTGTACATAAAAGCTTAGAAATTTGTTGTGAACTTAAAAATCAGAAGAGCCTCAAGTACAATATGCACAGACTAAATTTATTGAGATGTTAGTATTGTTAGTACTTTAGTCTGTAAATATTGTTTTGTGCGTTTTAGTTTTAACCACTGAATGAACAGTAATGACATGTTTGTGATTCTGTCAGTGCCAACCTTTCCAAAGCTGCTTGGGGTGCATATGAAAAGCAGAAAAGTCAGCTGATGATTCGCTCCTATGAAATGGGTGTTCTTTTTCTGCCTCAGTATTTTGTAAGTATTCTCTTATAGTTTCTAATCATTTTTTTCTTATGTAGGTGTTTTACACCCCCCATGAACACAATTTAGATTATTTTGGAGGATATTTTTTACCCTGCCTGTCAGGGCTTACGTAGACAGAGGGATACATTACAACATCCCTGCCCCCCCAAAAAAGAAGAGAAATGGAGATGTTTGATGAAAATTCTCCTGAAACAGGAATAATCAAACTTAGTATTTTTAGATGCAATCACCCGAAATGCTACACTACAGATGCTGGTATACTCTTGCATGTATAAGATAATGATGTAACATAATGCAGTAGAGTAGTAAATATGTTATGATTTATTCCAATGCTTTTAGTCATTCAGCAGAGTCATGTCATAACTTGTTTATCCTTACCCATTCTGGCAGATCTGGGGTGTGTGGGAAATATTATGGAAAAAACAAAAAGACAGTTCTCCTCCATAAGATATTCTCATTTTTATTTGTGAGGAGCAGAGCCTAACCATTTCACCTCAGGTGTTGGTCTATTAAACATAAGTCAACGTACTGTCAGAGGGCTATTGAGTTTTTCTTTGATGTATTTGTCCCTAATATCTGATTTTTGTGGATCTTTAGCCTGATGTCATTTTTTATTGTAGTTTACTCATCCTCTTCTTATCTTGTGTTCATTCTAAAGTCATGAATGGATTTTTGTCTATGCGCTGGATAAAAAGTGATGTTTTTACATATGTATGTAATGTAGAAACAGTATCGTCTGACTGCTATTTATTATCAATACATTTCTTTTTGCTAATGAACAGCAATACTATTACTACACATGAAACAATATTGCTTTGAATTTTGTCATTTATTGAATGCCTTATCTGCTTGTATACACTATTACAAAATAAAATTTGAAGAGAGTAAATGACAATGGCCCTTTAATCTGGTCAACAGGGATTCAAGAACTCATTCCCTGTGTCAAGCGATGCTGGGGAAGTCGCTGCTTCGGACAAACCAGTTTTCCCCTTGCCGTATGAACTTCCACCTGTCAGCTATGTGAAAGGAGGTGAATATTTCTTGTATGGTAGTGAAAGTGAAGAACAACATCCAAGTAAAAGTTGTGTTTCCTCTTTGCTTATAAGCTGTGCCTGCAGGAGTTGTAGTATTTGTATACATCTATTTCTCATATACAAGAATCAAACTCATTCTTAGCTTGCAAGAAAAAGAATGTGCTGTTTATCATTGCATATAGGATGGATGCGGGTTAATAGTCAGGTAGACACGAGAGCCAACATCTTGATAGACATCATATGTTTATTGGATAATATTCACCAACTTTTTTAAAATGTCATGCACCATCACCTTGTTCATTGTTAGTTGATTTTTCAAGAATAATCACTTTCACTCACCCATTTAAAAAAAAAAATTTTTTGTCAGCTGTCTTAGATCTAGATCTTTTGTAGTACATCACAAAGTAGCCATTTTGTTTCATAGTGATAAAGTCCAGGTTTTATTGCATTATTTCCTTGGTTGGCCCCCATTGGGTTTTTAGGTTTATTTCCTTTCTCACGGACGGGATGAAAGTGGGGGGGGGTTGCTGTTTTGGCCCTGCCTGTCAAGGCTAACTATTTCATCCTAGTTACAGGGTCCCCACAGGGTCGGGAAATCGGGAAAAAGTCGGGAATTTTGAGATAGGTCGGGAAAAATTCGGGAATTTTGTGATGGGTGGGTAAGTCAGGAAAGGATAGGGCCTGTGTAATGTGTAGCTATCTAGACTGTATGGTTGATAAATCCTGAAGAGGAAACGTAATTGAACCGCTGTGGTGGAAGTGTATGTGTGACACTGAGGCTCGATCGGGAAGAATCAAGATCTACTTTCGCTTTCGTTACCGCCCAGAAATTTTCCGGTAATAGTCTGATAGATAACGCAACATTTGTAACATGCAGGTTATGAATTATATTAAAAATTGCCCTCTGCTGTCGCTTGTGGAAAAAAAAAAGAAAAAGAACTTATACAAGCGTCTTGACAGGTTCGCCCTCGTGAGCGGTCAATGAACCTGTGAGTACCGGCGGTCTGAGCGCTGTGAAGTATAGGACTCCTTTATAAGATACACACGTGGAAGGGGATTGGGGAGGGGGGGGCTGAAGGCAACGCTAGAGGACAAAAACTGAACTTGGAAGCAAATTTTTTGCATTTTGATAACTACTTTAGAGCTCTCTGCAAAGCGCGCGTTGGTGCAGGCCTTGTGTGGAATCGAGATCCGTCATGCCTTGTTATTGAACTAAAGTGTTCGCATTTCATTGGATGGGGTGATTGTAATTTATATCTATATTTTAGCTTTCTGTTCAAGATTGGTAGATTTTCAGTGTCACTGCATCTTGTGCCCCCCCCCCCCCCCCAGTTCTTGCACCTCTCACACTGAATAGGTGTACTTGAGCCATTCTTGTTATTACTAATATTACTCTTCTTTGAGTTGCAGCAATGGTTTTCGTCTTCACGTTTATTATATGAATCATGACACCCAGACTGGTTATTGACAGTCGATATTCTAGTTCTAGGTCTTTTCTCAGGCTCAAAACAGGATTCATTTTTTTATACAGGGCCTATAGTTTGTTATGTTGGCTGATATGATGAAGGGAAAATATAAATAAGTAAGAACAGACTGAAATACCCAAGTCTCTCAAGATCCCAGTGTCACACTGACATGTTGTTGACTGGATATAATGTACCTACATGTGTGTGTGTGTGTGTGTGTATTCACAAACATATACATTGTACATGTATTATATTAGATATAAATGGAGCACACGCTTTCATTGTTATGTAACGTGTTCCTGGAAAATGGATGAGGCCTCTCCCTTGGAAAATTGAGAAGCTGGGTTGGCAGTCACTCAGTATTATAGTCATCTATAGTTTGAAGACTATACTACAAAATGTACATTTGCATTCATTTTTATAGACATTTTGACTTTTTATCATTGATAGATGGGCTTTTTGGGGGATCATTCTTGACGCGCAGCGGCCTGATATTTCCCTCGAATTGGGGTCTTGAAAAAATTTTCCAGGATTTGGTGGGGACCCTGTAGTTAAATAATAAGAAAAATGCCAATGTGTAGTTGCATGTGGAACAGAATTATTTAGGCTTCAAATTATGAATCTTTTGTTTTCTCCGTGACAGATCGCCCGTGGTTTATTGATGTCCCATGCGTGGATCAACCAGACACATTTGGTACAAAATGGTGTCCTCCCCTGTAGAGAAGTTGGAGGAAAGCTTCCTCAACCAAAATGTCGTTTCAGCTCATTTGTATATATTTACACATGAAATTACAATCCTCTGTCATGTTCTTGCTTTGACAAACTGATCATTAATTTGTCTACCATATATATGTCTTAGTCTTATTTCTTTATTTTAGAGATACAAAATAAACTGCCTTCAACAGTAATGGTAGCGACATCTTCTTTTTTTTAAATTAGATGTAGCGGCAATGAATTATATTTTTAGAGGTAATATTTCTTATAAGTAGAGAGTAGGAGCTGAAATTGTCCTAAAAGAACCTCTTTTTCAAGAAAATAAGCAAAATGTACTCTGGATGGTACGTTGGTGCTGGTGACATTAATTACCGTACAGTAAGTAGACAGAGGAGGTCGTATTTTGTACAAAGTCTTTGGTATCGCTTGTTTTCTCACTAGATCTTTGTGTACTTTATCTTTCAGGCTTCAAAGAGGAACAAATGTTGTTGAGATTGAACATGAATTGTGTTCTTTGGACATTTTGATTGATACAGATGTTGAGCTCTGTAGAAAAAATGTTTTTAAATTAAATGTGCCTGGACAGTAGATATCTTTTTCCTTCCTCTCTTTTCTCAAAGCACAAGTTTTTGCCCTCTTCTGTCAAAAGTTTTCCGAATGTGATGGCTTACATAAGTTTGTTCTACCACTAGTATAGTTGTCATAAGCTTTGGGGAATTTGATCCATTCTTTCCAGGAATTGCACTTCAGTGTGAGAGAAGGATGCACATCTCCAGAATAATGGTTATTTAGTGTTGTGGAAAAGGAGAACTGGAGAACCAAAACGACACAAGGATATCAAAGACAAACCATGTTAAACATTGCTTTCTTTAATATGACTGTTTTGTATTGCTGGGCTATGAGTATGTATTATTTCATGTGTTAAAGATTAAGGATGTTTGAGTATGTGTATTTTTCTTTGGGATAAAAGTGTATGTGTATTGTTTGTTATAACTTATTGTGTCTTATTATGCAAATATGTGTTGATTTGGTCACATATGTGATTCTATGAGTTTTTCTTGAAAGTGGTATTGTCTTTGATACATATTTTTTTCTAAGTGTTTGTAATATACGTCTCTATATACACTCATGCTTATTAATGTTATATGCACAAATGATTGGCAGGTGCTCAGGGGTGGTTTGCTTCTTCTTTCTTATCAAATATCTATCGTCCTTATCTGTCTTCCTTATCTTTTTTGTATGTTACTCTCTGGTAATACCTCTAATCTTCAGCACTTAGATGACGTATTTGTGTGGTTAGTGCTTTAAAATTTATACGAAAGCTAAAATGTTATGTGGGTGGTTAGTAGGTGCTCTGGTGTGGTTTGCTTCTTCTTTTCTATCAAACGTCTATCGTCCTTATCTCTCCTCCTTTTTTTTGTGTATGTTACTCTCTTGTAACACCTCTATTCTTCGGCATTTATGTGACCTTATTGTGGTGCAAGTGCCGTTTAACTCTTACTAAAACTTAAAAATGTTATGCCTATGTATCATTCGTGCCGGTTTCTCTAATGAATCTAGAATTCTAGATTTCTGAAGTCATCAAGGTTTTGCCGGACTTCTTGATACAAGATGTATTGGACAGTATATTATTCTGTGAATTCTGAGTCCCTGTGCATGTGTTTCTACAAGGTTTGAAAAGTTCAGGATTTTTTTTTCATCAGCCAGATGTTACCTCTGTAATGAAAAGGGGGGTACAGCTATGGTATCTGTTACTGTATGTCTGTATTCTAAGATGCCACAAACAAAGAAATAAAACTTGACTCAGTATGCAGCTAGCAGTGATGCTCATTTGTTTGTTGTAAATCTTTTTTTTTAGGCATCTGTGATTCACTTCTTGCTCCTGTACTTTTCCCTCTTTCAAGTTGTGTAGGAGGGTGGTTGGCGGGTGCTCTGGTGTGGTTTGCTCCTTCTTTTCTATCAAATATCTATCGTCCTTGTCTCCCCTTATTCTTTTTTATGTTTGTTACTCCCTTGTAACACATCTAATCTTCTGGCGCTCATATGACCCTATGCAGTTGCGAGCGCCGTAAAATCTCTACTAAAACTAAACAAGTTGTGTAGATTTACTTGGACTTGGATTGGTGGGTTCAGTAAAATCACCTTGGAAAGTGGGTGGTTTGAGGGTGCCACTGATAGATCATAATTCTTTTCTTCCTCCTGGTGTCTGCGGGTGGTAAGACAGTGCCACTAGTAGATCCTGCTTCGTTATTTTCCCTCTTTTGTCTCTGTCTGTTTGTCTGTCTTACTTTTTCCCGCCCCAAGCGACCATTACTCAACAACAACCTCTATCGTCTCTGTCTTCCTTGCTTTTTTCCTTGCACTAAATGACTGTTAGTGTGTCAATGTATTTCTCTTGACTCAAACAAAAAAGCAAGCAACCCACCTTGAATATATCCATTCTCAAAAGGTTGTATTCATGATATTTGAACAAATCAAATTTCCAAAACAGGCAAAATTTGTACTTTTATACAGTCTATAGGCCTACTTCATGCTTTTTTTTTTCTTTTTAAAATCCTTTTAATCATCATGTTGAGAAGATATAGTACATAAAACTTTATATTTTAAAGCTTGCTGAGGAAAAATGAAAAATCTTCTTACCCGACTGGTTGAAGTTCCTAACATGATTACCCTATTTATGAATGATTTTTAGTTTTTCATTTGTTGGTAATGCCTCATGTTTTTTTTCGAAAGATGGCCAAGAGCCTACCAATTACACCTGAAGCATCTCTGTAACACTTCCTTTGGAAATTGCTGCAAAAAAAATAATGAAACAAAGGCAGAAAAATGTTGCTTTTTTTAAAGAGACTTTTGTCAATAATTTTTTTATGAGAACCCTTTTATTATTCAACAGTACGGTCAGACCTGCTCAGACAGCTACCTGTTGAAGTCAAAATCAAAACCCTGTGAAAATGACCCGTCCCCATTTTGCTTTTTTGGGGGGGAGGGGGGAGGTGGGTATGTTGCTCTATTTTTAAAATATTAAGATGACACTGTGACGTCCACCTGTCTAAGACGACCACTTTTCTCCTGGACAATGGGTAAGGGTAGCCATTTTTTACCATTTCAACAGTATATTGGAATACTTCTTAATAAATACACATACAAATGAGAAAATAGGGCATTGGTAGATGATTTCTTCAACAAGTTCAATACAGCGAATCAGCCTCTGCCTTGAGAGTTCCCCCCGGTGACACTGACTGTAGTGTCTTTAGCCCATTCCCAAAGGGGGGACCTTTCTCGTTCATGCACAGTAGAATTGTATATTATGGGCTGATTCATCAAAGTCACACTCATAACTGTGCCTGATCTACAACAGGGAACTGCTGCTTTTGTATGTTTGTCACACTCTTATGATCCGCTATTTCCGGGGTGCCTTGATAGTCGAAGCAGACTTAGTGCTGTTGAAGCTAGTAAGGACTTCTCTGTTGACATCCACCCATTGGCGCTCTCGTCATGACCTTATGCAGTTGCGAGCGCCGTAAAACCTCTAATAAAACTAACTGCCATGAGAGTGAAGAAAATTTGCATGACAATAAATGTTGGGAGTAAACACAGTCCGGGTTGGCCTATTAATGTGTGTCAACGTTGCAATTTTGTTTCATTAAATTTGTTTTTAAATTAATTTTTTATTTATTCTTTTTAAATCAGACATTTTTTCAAGAAAATGGAATTATTCAAAAAGAAAACATGCACGGTTTGTTAAGTAAACATAGCAAAGTCCGCGGAACATGGACATTTTTCTTTATTTAGACTACAAGTACAATAAATGTGACAATGTCCATATTTGAAAAACCAAGACAATATTAAAGAAGTCACGAGAAAAAATCGGGACCTGAAAACCTCTTCGCTGTGTGCATGCTGAACTGAACATAATATGTATGTCGTATATTGATAACAACAGCATTTCTCAAATTTATGAGAATATCGGATGAATTTCTGACACACAGTGAGTATATTGTAATATAAGATAAGAAAAGATAGTACTTTATTATCACAGACGGAACATTTTCTTGGCTGTACAAGACCGTAAAAACACCTGCAAGTATACTTTAAAATTATAATTAGGGAGTGCTTATTTATAAAATAACGTAAGGGAGGGGGGTTTAGCTTATTTAGGCCACAGTGGACTGTTGCCTAAATAAGGTAAGGGAGGGGGGTCCACCTATCCTTTTGGCTAGATAGCCCATAGTCCGCCTATCCACTTTCTTAATAATAACTGAAAACAATACGTGCCAGTTGTCATGAATAGTGAAGAAAAATGCGGGGGAAAAAAAGACAATGAGGTCGACTA